AAGTTCCGAAAACAGGCCTTTTGCTTAGTAGTTGCTGCCACAAGAAGGACACCGCCCACACCTCACCTCTGACTGTTCAATCGCGCGCCCCTGCATGCACTTGACGCGAAGTCAGAATTGACAATGCTTTTGCATGTCTCTTAGAATTGCTCAACAGCACGGTTTACTTAAACCCTTAGCCTTAGGCTTTACATGAGGGTTTGGCGATCCTCGGTTTCGGCGTAGACAGGCGTCTGTGGGTGCTGCACAGCTTGTCGGAGCCCCAGTGCCGCACAGATTTTTCGCGATGGCGGAGGGTTCGACCGGGTTGTGGTCTGGGGTTTGCTTGATTGCCCAGCAATGGATGAATTCGGTTGAACATCGATATGACCAGCATGATGAACAAGGCCCGCGGCAATACACCCAAGGAATCGCCTCCACCGCCGGCACCCCACAGGCCCGCTGTTGAGAAATTGTGTGGCAACACCTCAGAGCCTCAAAGCTCAAAATCGTTTGCGAAGCCCTCGGCCTCAGTGTTTGGGGTTACGGGATTCGGGTTGGAAGGAGGGGTCAAGATCCAAAACCCTTCCCGCACTCAAGCCCGACGTCTGTAGGTCCCGCAACGCAGCCAGTGCTGTGCTAGTGATAGCCGCAACATTAGCTACCACTAGCAGGAGTCCCAGTAACTGTCCCAGTAGCAGTAAAAGTAGCCTAAGCCGAAACACTAGCAGTACTGCCAGTACCACTAGTAGCAGTGGTAGTAGCAGCGGCAGCAGCAGGAGCAGGTGTCGTCGTTGTCGTCAAAGTTGCAGCAGAACTAGAAGCAGCAGCAGTAGGAGTAGTAGTAGTAGTAGTAGTAGCAGCAGCAGTAGTAGCAGCAGCAGTAGTAGTGGTAGTAGTAGGACTAGCCGTAGTCGTAGCCGTAGTAGTAGTAGCACTAGTGGTAGCAAGAGCATCAACAGTAGCAGCATTTGCTGTTGCGTTAGTCGTGGTAGTAGTGTCTGGTAGCAGTAGTGGTGGTGGTGGTGGTGCTGGTGGTCATGGGGGTAGGAGTGGTGGAGGCCCCGGTGGTGGTAGTACTCGTGCTAGTGGTCGTAGTCGAAGTAGTAATAGTAGACATGTAGTCGTAGTTGTCGTCGTAATAGTAGTAGTAGTAGTAGTAGTAGTAGTAGTAGCAGCAGTAGTAGTAGTCGTAGTTGTTGTTGTCGTTTTTGGTGGTGGCGGTGGTGGTAGTAGTTGTAGTCGTTCAGTGGTAGTGGTCGTCGTCGTGTAACACTAGTCGTGTGGTGGTGATGGTGGTGGAAGTGGTAGTAACATCAGTACTCGGAGTTTACTAAGCAGCAAGTTTGAGATTGTGAATTGAGAGCAGTCAATGTGGTGGCATTTGCAACATTTTGCAACGATATTTGTAACCCCCAGCAAAAGAAGCAACAGCCGTCATTATTTTCCAATCGATCAGGGCCACAAAGCTCAACAAAAGCAGCACAAGAAGCAAAGTAGAAACGGCAATGTGGGGAGCACGGGCAATTATGATAGTTCTGATGTTCTTACTCTGACAACTTCTTTCCACCGTCCTGCTTATGTTCTTTTAGTTGTTCACGAAGTTGGCATCGTGCCCGTATCGTTCGAAGTCTTTAATCTTAGGCTTTGCGTTCGCTGAGGACGAGTATTGGAACAACCTGGTTCTGGGAACACTGGGAAACACACTGGAGCCGGCGGAGATGATCACGGGTCTCCGCTTGGTGGACCGGGTCTTGCAATATGAAGTTTCGGGTTCACGGCTTTTCACCACGTGCTGTCGCGTCTTGTAAATTTCGAGCGACGTACATGAGCATGAACTGCTAAGCTGCTTATCATTCAGCAGCTGCAGTGTTTACTTGTGACAATGTTGCAGGGGTTGACGGTAGTTGTGCGCAGTAGTCTGCTGTTACAATTTTTACTGTCAGTGCTTTCGTCGTGCTTGCTATCATTGCGATATCGTTGTGTGCGTGTTCTTTTTGCGTCGGTTCCTGGGTTGTATGCAGCTTGCACACTAATGGCTAATGCTGGCCCTTGCAACGGCAGTTCATAGTCTCGTTGTTTCTTTTTCCGGTCTTCGGGGTTCAGGACCGTGGGTTGCCATTCTTTCATGCTGCTTTTTGATTGTATCTGCAAGCAGGACAAAGTGACTACTGGCAAAGGGGGTGTGCCGAGCATGGTCCGCATGGAGGCTTGTTGCTTGTCCTGGAGTACGTGTGACGCAGAACTCGAAGCTAAACCCGAACGGAATAACGAGGGACACTTGATGCGTGCCGTGTGCCGCATGGCTTTGCCTGGTGTGGTGAGCGCTCGGCCTGCGCAACCGCGCCTTGTGGGCACGGGCTCGACACTGCAGCGCTCTGAAGAGTCCGTGCTGTTTGTGTTCGCAAGTGGCATTTGTTCGAGCCTGCCCGTTTGCAATGCCCGGCACACTGTAGTCACTATACTTCATGCAGGTCCATCCCGGTTCCTTTCCTTCGTGGCGGCACCGCCTCTCTCTTGAACCCACGTCGAGACATTTGTCGCAACGTGCTAAAGTCTGTAGTCTCTGGGCGTGTTCGTCGACGGTAAGCCAAATCAAGATTGATTTTCCTACAAGCCCGCTTTGCCATGGGACATGTTGGTAGCCATGCCTTTGACTTTGTTCCGAACTTTGTCCCGATGTCCTCTCCTAGCCACGCTTCCATTCGACCTCTTCAATGCAAGCTACAAGACAGGCACAGCCATGGTGTGCATCCAGCCTTGAGAAATACACGGCATGTCACGCAGTGCAGCTTGTTCCATCACAAGCAGCTGCTCTTGTTCCGTCCATTCTCCCAGGTCTCGCAGCAAGGGTGTTTGTTGTTGTAAGGTGTTGACGGTTCGAGAATGCCCATTGTTGGGTGAAAGTGGACTTAGAAAACATTTTGCCGGGGAAATGTTATCTGGTTTTCCGAAGCATCGTCATAGTATCGTCATGCATTGCCCAGCTTCGGTCTGAATGCACGTGCTTGAACCTCCAGCTGCTGGAACATGCGTCTTGGTAGGTTTGGTTTGGCAGCGCCAGCGACGTGCAGGCACAACCATGAGCCATTTTTTTGCTCTAGCAAAATCAAAGCTTAGTGCCGATTTGGCACAGGCACCTGATCTGTTCGTTTGGGGCCGGGGACATGTCTTGCTCATCCCTGCAGCTAGCCGAGCATTCACGACGACAGCATGCTGCCGCTCTGCTTCCACATATCTCCACATACTCCCGTCAGACGCATCTGATACGCGAAGGCTGTAGCGGCACTGCAGAGAAACGTCGAGCGCTGCGTGGCAACGCGGACGTTGGAAGGCCGCATTGGCAGCGTCCCGAAGGCCGGCAGATATTTTTCTTGCGCCGACTGCTCATGTCGAAAATCCGTTGCGTCTTTTCCGTCCCAGCATTGTTTCAGCATCCAGCATCTTCTCGAACCCCCTGCATGTCAGGCGGAGTTGAAGCACCACAAGATGACTCGGCATCAGTGATCCAGCCGGTAGACATAAACAATACGTGCGTTGCCGTGCTTTTCTGCTTGTTTGAGATTTGTCAGTTGACGCTGACCGAGCAATCTGCCCTCTGAGCTTGTCCCGGAAGCATGCCAAGTCATTCCAGGCTGTTCACATATCTTGAGGTATGCTTCTCTTGGAGCACCGTGGTTGGTAGACCGTTTTGTTGCGACATGGCTTGCAATCCTTCTAAATCCTTGGCTCGCCGGCTCGCCGCTGCCATGTGGAAGCCAATGAAGCACAACCCATCCAGGAGCAGCCCAGCAGCCCCAGCTTCAACTGCAGGCGTTGCACTACGCTTCCGCAAGTACAAGATTATACCCAAGCGCTTTCGGTGACGCCGCCCCAAAGAAGATTGACATTCCAGCCTCCAATATCATTACATCATTACATGCCCTATCGACCCGTCATGATGCGTTCATGAAAGCGTTTCGCTGCTGCCAGCGAGCCCAAGCGGCTGCCGCGGTCAGCTGGCACCGAAGCTGCAGACAAGTTTTGCTAAAACAAGTAAGTACATACAGTCATAAAGACATGTTTGTACATGTTTGTGGCATCTGTGGCTTTTTACGTATATATATATATATATACATATACACACACACATATATATATATACACATGCGTACATGTTTGTACACACAGAGGCTATATACTTTAATATTGTCGATGCGCACACACGCGCACATGTATTTATGCGTATGTGTATATGTGTATGTAAACGCAGTTTAGTGCATGTATATGTGCGTCCATACCTTCAGTATATCTATGTGTGCGTATGTATGTGTACGTATGTACATGTATATATATATATATGTATATGTATATGTATATGTATATATATATATATATATGTATATATGTATATGTGTATATATGTATATATATATATATATATGTACATACATATATATATATATGTATATATATATATATATATATATACATATGTATATATATATATACTATATATATATATAATATTATATATATATATATATGTGTATATATATATATATATATATATATATATATATATATATATATATATATATACATATTGATTGTATGCATGCATGGACGGATGCATGGATGCAAGGACGCATGGATGAACGCATGCATAGATGCATGGATGCATGGATGTATGGATGCATGGATACGGATGGACGGATGGACGGATGGACGGATGGACGGACGGACGGACGGACGGATGGATGGATGCATGGATGCATGGATGCCTAGGTGCATGGACGCATGGATGCATGGATGCAGGGATGCATGGATGCATGGATGCATGGATGCATGCATGAATGGATGGATGGAAGGCCCGGATGGATGGATGGAAGGCACGGATGGAGGGATGTAGATTGGATGGATGGATGCATGGATGTCTGGATGCATGGGTGCATGGATGCATGGATACCTGGATGCCTGGATGCCTGGATGCATGGATGCATGCATGCATGGATGCATGCAGCGCTGCGACCAAGGTCTTCATGGGAAAGAGCTTGAGTCGGATACGATGCCACCCGGCATGTGGCCCAGTCCGGTGCTTAGTGACCGACGGGACCAGTCCAAGGATTTGCCAGAATTGAGCTTGCCCAGTCTGGGATGCCAGGATGGTGGTGGTATTGTGATCTTTGTAATACATAGTCCTTGTCAGGCATGCTTCGGCATCAACGTGGACACGACGGTGGATGGCTCAGATTGGTTCGAGCAAAATACATGCATGGTGTCGGCGTTTGAGCTTGAGAACTGAGCGCAGAAAATTCAGCCGGGATGATTGCTTGCCCGTATTAAGTCATGGGGGTTTGGCCAGCCACTTCTAGCTGATGGGCAGCAACTCGCGGTTGGGGCTCTCAGAAGCGAGCAACAACTCCGTTAAGTCTTGGGGCTTGTGTGCCACGAAACATCGCGAGTCTGGTAAATGACTCACATGCTATTCCATGGATCGCGGTTGCAGTTCACGAACCCGGCTTGTCAGTCTAGAAAGTACCAGTTGGCGTCGTGTGATTTCGAGTGAACCCACTCCTCCGAGAATCCGTTACTTGTTCCATCTTGGGAATCCGATCATTTGGCATGGATGCTGGGGCAGTGCACTGCATTCGGACAGCGCATTCAAGCATGCCTGTGGTGAAGCTGAAGCCCACCCGACTTCTCGTCGATATGAATGAGCACTGGGGGACTTTTGACATGTATGTCCTGTGAACAGTGGTTGTCAAGAACAAGCCAAAATAGAAAGACGACAGCATTGTTTGGTGGTTTCCCTGCGAGCGGAGCTGTCCAGACTTTAGAGAGGCTTACACTGCCTTAAGCGCCACCACGACTGTTTCGGATGGTGAGAGAAGTAACATCTACGGAGACAATGCTAGGTAAATGCACGTTCGTGCAGGCCCAAGGCGGCGTTTCAGCAATTTTCAGCGCTTGCATGCTTCGAGGAATATGGGGACGCCGAGCGAGGGGTGGCCACGGATGACTCCCACGAGGTTAACGTTCCATGGCAAGCAAAACTTGACTGGGGCAGGGAGCCATTTCCCACTGTGTTTCAGAAGGTAATGCTTCTGATAGTAGTGATCCAACGATAGCTGGTAGAAGGTTTTATTGGTTGCGGCCATGTAACTTTCCGGTTGCCACTGTTCGGCACGATTGCCGGTCATGGATATGCTCAACAGTTGCAATTAAGTATGATGCTGTCTACATTTCTCCTTTCTGCCGCCAGCGGTTCTTGGCATGGATCTAGGATGGACTGCCTCGTAAGAGGTCCTGCATGGGCTCGCAAGAGGGAACATGGGAGTTTGGACGTGGTGCTAGTGCGACATGGACTTGTTTTCGGGGCCAGGTGCCGTTAAGAGAGACGACTGCGCGAAGCACAGGGTATCGGCATGAGACTTGGCAGCAGGTGGGCTGAAAGCCGCCGTGCGCACACCTTTTGACTTATGCCACCTCGCACTTCCTTCAGAAAAATTCCGCGCTAAGCCTGTTTCTGGCCCGAGGCACCTCGATCGTGTGCAGAGGTGCCCTCGAGCGTGCCTCGGCGGAGAGAGTTTCAGAACCCGACCCGGAATTCGGCTGAAAAGGGCCCCTACTCCCCTACACCTTCGGGCAGCGGCCCCAGGAGAGTTCCCAGACGATGGACCAGCTCGCCGCTTGCATCCGCCACATGGCCAAAAGTATGAGGTCCAAGAGCAAAGCTCCTCGTTGTCCCTTTCATGCTAGGGCCAGAGCCGGGTCATAAGCTTTTTTTCATGGTCCATACATTTAGGTTTGCTTCCTGGGTCGGAAAGGGCCAGGGCGCCGGAGATATGGGAAGTTCTAGGACATTGAGAAGGCCTATTCCCCATATGCCCTGGATTGCAGATCCTAAGCCGGTAGAGAGTGCTGCACGAGCACGGCGACCCTCAACCTGCCGAGAGATTCTTGGGCCTCCGACGTGCGGTCTGCAATGCCTCCCTCTTTGATGAAAGATTCGAATAACTAGCATCGCAACACGTCGTTTACCTAAAGCGATGTCCAAAGGAACCAAAAGAACAAGAGTCCTTCATGACTTCTGTTCTTGCCTACTTGTACATCTTTCTGTCGGTATTCCCAGTGGTGGGTGGCGCTTTAGCTCCTCCATGCAGGGGTAGGGATGACAGGATGACAGACTGTGAGAGAAGAAGAGTCAGCAGCAGCAGCAGCAGCAAGACTAGCAGTAGCCGTAGTATCAGCAGTAGCAGCCGTAGTCTCAGCAGCAATCAAAGCACAGAGAGCGAACAACGACAAGAGCCATGACAACAACACCTGCAAGAGAACTAGCCGCTGAAGCATGGACAGCATTTACCATAGCACTGGGGCTAGCAGTAGGTTGTTTGGTGCTGGTGCGCGCGGCCTTACATCCTTGCAGGCATGAACTTCTGCAAGAGCAGACGTCTTGGCCCCGGGACTTCGGCTTGCTCAGACATTGGACATGTTGCGTGAGCCATTGAGAGCAATAGTCTGTTCTTTACCATAACCTCCCATACCATATCATATAGCCTTCTCTTATATCGTAAACAATCCAAAACTTGACTGCCTAGGTTATATGGGTAGTTCTCTAAACCAGCGTCCCCGTTAAGGCCCCCAACACAACACAACACCCTTATAAAGAGGACACTGCGCGGGACCCTAATTTAGAGAACCACCCAAATGGAGACGCCCGAGATGTGAATTTCAGAGCTATCAGGCCCAGATGTTGAGACGCGGGGAATACGGGGAAACCATCTCCCGAGATTTCTGGCAGTGAGAAGTCTGAACGTCCATTTGCTGACGGAAAGATGTTGGGAATGACTTGTTTGACCACCATGACAACGATCTCACATTCTTGTTAAGATTTGTATTGACTTGGCTTGGAATCGGCAGAATGGGTACTAGTAGCGGGTGAGACTGATATGTTTGTATTGCATGATAGCAATAAGAGAGGGAGAAAATGACAGCAATAACCTTCGGCGAAGGTCGGAATGTATATAGGCTTTGCCGGGAGCAAAGTACAGCTTATAGAGAGCGCGAGACTGCAAGATGGAAAGACGAAAAGCTGAATGCTCAGCATACAGAGAAGGGAGTCTAAAGGACAAGACTGGCAGCAGAGTGGCAGAGGGGTTGTTTGATACTGGAGCTCAGATGTTGTAGTGTTGTAATCGTAGTATAAGTGCAAGTAGTAGTCGTCGTCGTCGTAGCCGTAGCAGAAGTAGGAGTGTTGGCAGCAGCAGCAGTAGCAGAGGGACTCGTAGTACCGACAGGAGGTAGTTCCTCATCGCTGCAAGTCATTGCTAACGTCGTTCTCGTAGGCAGAACCAGAGCAAGAGTCGCAGTGAAACAAGAACTCCAACTGCCTTTCGCTGCCATTCAGCTTCTCAGGTGCCCAGATTCTGTCTGGCATCTGTGCGCTCGTAGCGGTTCTCTTGCTGCTTGCGCTTGTAAAGGCAGGTCTCCTTCAGTCTGAAACAGCTTAGACGGTTTGCTAAGGTTAAGCGAGCTTCGCTGAGGCTAAGTGCGCTTAGTATTATGTGTCTCTTTTGACATGTCCTTCTAGTTAATCAAGTTGCAGCTTCTTTTTGCTTATGCTAGGGCTACCAAGTTCCGTATAACTCACCGGTGACTCCCGCGAAGTTAGAAGGGTCGAGGGCATTCGAATTCAGAGCCTCCACTCACCGTCCTCAACCGCTAAAGGAAGGTTCAGCGCTTGCTCAAGCCGTGCACTCCATGTAGACGAGTCTTACTTCAAGTGAAAGACTGAGCCGGCTCCGGATGTAATTTTACCTTGTGTGCAGCTCTCCCAGACGGTTTAGGTTTAGGGTTTGATTGAGAATTGCCTCCTGAATGGCCGCGCAAGTCGCGAAGCAGGGTTACAGTGATAAACTGGCATGTTCAGTTCCTGTCAGATCTGGGTTTAAGGTCTCGGGCTTAAGGCTTAAGGCTTCGGATACGATAGAATGATAGAAATCGCTCCCACCCCGAAGTCCCAAGCCTTGAGCACTGTGCCCTCACATAAGTCGTGAGGGATATGGGGCAGAGAGGTTCGAACGACTGCAAGCCTTCCCAAGTTCGACACTTTTGGGGCTTTCCCGGGTGGATTCGGCGTTTCAGATGTGTCTGTTTAATTAGGTGTCAATCTTGTCAATTCGAACGACTGGGCGACCGACGCAATAGTTGCTCTTCTTGCTACCGTTAAACGGTCGAAGACTTTGGGGTGTGCAAGACATCCCTGCAGGCATGACAGCGCATGCCAGCTCAACAGCTCAACCCTTTCAATGTTGGCGTATCGCTTTCCGTTTTCGGACTGAGGCACCTCGCGAGTGGGCATAGATCCCGGCCACGCAAGAGGGAACAAACCGTTGCCTTGCTAGGTGGGAGTGGGAAAGAAACCTTACAAACCGGGCATAGATCCCGGCCACGCAAGAGGGAACAAACCGTTGCCTTGCTAGGTGGGAGTGGGAAAGAAACCTTACAAACCGGGCATAGATCCCGGCCACGCAAGAGGGAACAAACCGTTGCCTTGCTAGGTGGGAGTGGGAAAGAAACCTTACAAACCGGGCATAGATCCCGGCCACGCAAGAGGGAACAAACCGTTGCCTTGTTAGGTGGGAGTGGGAAAGAAACCTTACAAACCGGGCATAGATCCCGGCCACGCAAGAGGGAACAAACCGTTGCCTTGCTAGGTGGGAGTGGGAAAGAAACCTTACAAACCGGGCATAGATCCCGGCCACGCAAGAGGGAACAAACCGTTGCCTTGCTAGGTGGGAGTGGGAAAGAAACCTTACAAACCGGGCATAGATCCCGGCCACGCAAGAGGGAACAAACCGTTGCCTTGCTAGGTGGAGTGGGAAAGAAACCTTACAAACCGGGCGTAGATCCAGGCCACGCAAGAGGGAACAAACCGTTGCCTTGCTAGGTGGGAGTGGGAAAGAAACCTTACAAACCGGGCATAGATCCCGGCCACGAAGAGGGAACAAACCGTTGCCTTGCTAGGTGGGAGTGGGAAAGAAACCTCTTACAAACCGGGCATAGATCCCGGCCACGAAGAGGGAACAAACCGTTGCCTTGCTAGGTGGGAGTGGGAAAGAAACCTTACAAACCGGGCATAGATCCCGGCCACGCAAGAGGGAACAAACCGTTGCCTTGCTAGGTGGGAGTGGGAAAGAAACCTTTCAAACCGGGCATAGATCCCGGCCACGCAAGAGGGAACAAACCGTTGCCTTGCTAGGTGGGAGTGGGAAAGAAACCTTACAAACCGGGCATAGATGGGAAAGACTTACAAACCGTTGCCTTGCTAGGTGGGAGTGGGAAAGAAACCTTACAAACCGGGCATAGATCCCGGCTTGCATAGAAGAGGGAACAAACCGTTGCCTTGTTAGGTGGGAGTGGGAAAGAAACCTTACAAACCGAGCATAGATCCCGGCCACGCAAGAGGGAACAAACCGTTGCCTTGCTAGGTGGGAGTGGGAAAGAAACCTTACAAACCGGGCATAGATCCCGGCCACGCAAGAGGGAACAAACCGTTGCCTTGCTAGGTGGGAGTGGGAAAGAAACCTTACAAACCGGGCATAGATCCCGGCCACGCAAGAGGGAACAAACCGTTGCCTTGCTAAGTGGGAGTGGAACAGAAACCTTTCAAACCGGGCATAGATCCCGGCCACGCAAGAGGGAACAAACCGTTGCCTTGCTAGGTGGGAGTGGAACAGAAACCTTTCAAACCGGGCATAGATCCCGGCCACGCAAGAGGGAACAAACCGTTGCCTTGCTAGGTGGGAGTGGGAAAGAAACCTTACAGACCGGGCATAGATCCCGGCCACGAAGAGGGAACAAACCGTTGCCTTGCTAGGTGGGAGTGGGAAAGAAACCTCTTACAAACCGGGCATAGATCCCGGCCACGCAAGACGGAACAAACCGTTGCCTTGCTAGGTGGGAGTGGAACAGAAACCTTTCAAACCGGGCATAGATCCCGGCCACGCAAGAGGGAACAAACCGTTGCCTTGCCAGGTGGGAGTGGGAAAGAAACCTTACAAACCGGGCATAGATCCCGGCCACGCAAGAGGGAACAAACCGTTGCCTTGCTAGGTGGGAGTGGAAAAGCTTGCTAGGTGGGAGTGGGAAAGAGACTTTACAAACCGTTCAGGTCTTCATCGAGATTCGCTCCATGCGGACTGGGGGCCTCGGTGTAGACGAGCCTGACGTCGGCTTGAAGTATGACTGTGAGGTGCCGTTGCTTCGGGTGCTTGGGGGGTTTAGGGGTTTGGGTTTAGGGTTTGCAGACGCTAAGAGCCCAGCTGCAGGGGTCTATGGTTGGGGTTTAGGGCTACTGATACCTGTTGAAAGATTTTCGGGTTTATGGGGGTTCAAATTTCCGGGACTTCTGCTTGGCTTGGGCTTGGAATGAGGGCTTCTGTTTTTTGAGCGCACCTGATTGAATCCCAAATCTCGTAACTGTTCTTGAGGGACGACTTTTTTTGGTAGCAAGAAAGAGTTTGGGTTTGTCGGGTTTGTGGCGGGATTGAAGAACACGTGCGAAGAGCACACAATAACCAAATCAGCACCAACCCCAGGACTTTCGCAGGAGAGGTTTTTGGCCTCTTCGGAGGCTTCCCCAAACAAACGGGGGTTCCATGGAAGTCCGAAGATCCGGAGCTGGAGGACGGTCTGAACGTTTGGGAAGTCGAATGGAGCACCCGCAAGATGGACTGGTGCTGCTGCTCGTCCCTGTGGGCTATGAGCTTTAATTCCAACCTTAAAACGCAAAATTTAAATACACCAATCTAGAAAGGAACTGGGCCCAAGCTTGCTTTCCCGAAGACTTCCTGAATGGCAAGCACCACCGTTGCAGCTTGCGTTTTTATATAGAATGACAGTGTAGATAGACATTGTCCCCGGCAGGAACGAAACTTCGGCTTGTTTTTGAACGGTTCGTTGTGTAAGATGCGACAAAGCCAGCCGTGAAGTCAGAAAGGATCCTCTCGGCATAATACTAGTCCTGCACATGCCTTGCTGTGATAACCACTCACTTTGCTTGTAAAGTCGTAGAGCATCAAGGCCATGCATGTTGATCGTTCGAAGCACAACGAGTTACGGTGCAGAGCAGCACCAGGGGATAGCCCAGCTAGACCCTAAACTGACGGTCTTGAGCTTTCCAGCTGAGGTTGGAATTACGGTGTGGGATGCATGCACTTCAACTGCGAAGGACTCCAGCATCTAGTTGGAGAAGTTCGGCCAGGGTCCTGGAACCCAGTAGGGTAGTACAGAAGCTGGATCATTATGTGTACTGCTTTTTGAGAGGCACTGGCGGACTCATGTCCTAGGACAGACATGTTTGCGTTGACGGCGACTTTACTGTGTAAAGGTGGTGTGAGCTTGCTCATCGCAGCTCACACCACCTTCCCCTTAGCTTTTTCATTGTCTCGACTTTGCAGTGAGGTCCTGGGTAGCCCTGGAGTTTGCAGCTCCAGAGTTGTCTTTGTGGCCAGCTGTCGAAAGTCTGTGTCAAGAAGTTCTGGTTCAATGGATGCTTCTGGATTGGTGAACTCATCCTTGTATTCGCTTTGTTCCACCAATGCTGAGGTGTCATTAAATCAAACGCCGGTGCAGCTCCAACACCGAACGAAAGTAACCCAAATCCTAGTTCAGGCTCCAGATTGGGCATTTACTGCAGGCAGTCCGCAACCGCTTACAATATTTGCCAAGAGCATGTTCGTGCCGAGGAAGACGGTCACATGAAGTGGTTGTGAATACTATGAAAGTCTGACGTATCAGTGAAGGACATGAGACTTCCTGGACGGACTTGCAGAGCAAGCAGCTTTGCACAAGAAGCGGATCCAGGGAGAAATCGGGTACCACATGTTCAGGGCGAACCAGCCGCTTCAGGGCATGCTTGTAGACAGATCTTGCTGCATTCGGCCGGACTTTGGGTCAGCACTGCGCTGTGGCCATTTGTATTGTCTTCGCTTTTCCGGATGCCCTTCAGGAGCCGTGGGGATGTGAGTTGCTGCGGCTGTGGTTCGGATTCTGAAACGTTGTAAAGCTCACAGATCTCAAGAGGGCAGCTCTAAGCAAAGGATACGATGACTTGCAGTGACGACGATGGTGATGATGTGGGCATTGATGTCCCTGCTGCTGCAGTTGAGAAGGAGGGAATGCCTGTCATGGACATGACAATTCCATGCTTTTGGGGATCGTTGACATTGCCGCGATGGTGCGTGCACCCGCAAAGTGACTCGCTTCTCGTCACCAGCCCTCAACATGTCTTTCTTCTTTATGCTCTTGTATAGGTCATGCCCCTTTTTCCGCTGTTGAACGTTGCTGCTCGTGTTTTCGGTTCTCGTTTCTGTTGCGCTTGCTATTGCTTTTGGTAGATCTTTGGGCATTGGCAAGACTGTGGTTTGAGCTAAGAGGTCCGCGGCTGCTTACGGGTCTGAGTCAGGTGGTGCTGCGAAGTCCGGGGCATGGGCTCCCAGTGCGTGGCCATGTCCCTTCCTTTTGCAGCTCGGCCATGTCGTAGAAAACGAGCTTCACCAATCAATTCACTGATTTCAAAGTGAATCTTTACATTTATGGCTTGAGGCTGTTAGCCCTCTGTCACTGACTTGTTAGGCTGGAGCTTCAGGACTGCGTAATCTGTTGTGGTGCGCGTAGGACCTTTCGCCCGGAACTTTTGCATGGTCCCGGGATGGTTTTTGCGAGTTCCTGCGTGCCGAACCTTCCTGAAAGTTCTTCCAAGCATACTGCTACAAGAAAGCCCGTGCGAATGTCGAAGCCGTAGTGGGTGCAAATTCTAGCTCAGGACTGTGGCCAAAACCTCGGCAGCTGGAAAAGCTGGCACCCAGAGAAGAAGCAGTGGCCGTGATCCTCAGATTTTTGTTGCGCCAGCTTATTGGTAGTTTGTTTTCGGGTCGTCATTGCGTGTGCCGTAACATCTCGAGGCTGTGTCTTGAGACTTGTGATATCAAGTGCTAGGCTCGGCTCAAGTTGTTCACGCTGGTTGGATTTTTCAACCCTGCAGTATAGAATGCCTCAACACACTAGCACCAATAACCGGTAATCTTTCAATCGCTGAGCTCCTTGAAGAGCAGAGCAAGCAACGGAGAGCTTCCAATCCCATAAGCAAACTTACCCAAACCTCTACAAACCTTAAAGCCTGTGTCCGAGTTGCGAGAGCGTAAACCCTAAAGCCTGACAGAAGCTGCAAAACTTTGCATGCCCAGGTGCTGCGACTACCAGGGGCTTGGTTGTGGCGAGGAGTTCGAGGTGCCGTGGCCAATGCGCCCAACTAAGTCTTCGTTGTAACCCCTAAACTCTCTAAACTTCAGTCGAAAGCCCTGAATGCCGGGGCTTGTGGGTGCCCAGCGCTGGCTTCTGGTAGTTTTGCGGATTTACTGCCTGCCGCAAGCGTTTGCTGCTTTCTTGTTGTGTTGTTCCGCACGCCTTTCCGAATTGCAGTGACAGCATTTTCGCAAGAACGAAGACTTCAGAAATGCCGCGAATCCTGTTTGACGAGCCAAAATAGCAAGCTATTATTGTCGAAGGTTCTGTGTTCAGTGAAGCCCTGTTGCATCGTCAACTCTTCCATTCTCCTAGCAGTCTTCCCTTCGTTCGGTTTATCTGTCCCAGTTCTGTTCCTTCTTCGTTTATTCTGACATGCTGTCTGCGGTCTAGCTTTTCTTCCCTAGTGCATTCTCACGTGAAGTTTGTTTTGTACGACCCGCTACGCGGATATCATATCACCTTGATAAAAGCCAGTAACTGTGACAGCGAGCCTAGTTCAGGACAGCAAGGAGAAGGCATCCGTGGCCAAGGCCGCTGCAGACGCGGCCCCCAAAACGCCCGGGGAGGCACAGAAGGGTCTAGGCTGGGTGTAATATATGATATGATACTGTTAGACTTGCCCTATGAGTGATATGATACTATTATGATTTATCATATTATGGGGGTCTAGGGTTTAGTGTTTTGGGGTTCAGTTTTTTGTGTTTAGGGTTTCAGGGCTGCTCGGAGGACCATATGGACTGGCCAAGCCCGGAACCCCAAAGGTCTAAGGGCCCAATCAACCCTTAGAGACACGCTCATCGCAGCCCTGATGGGAACCGTCACAAACAGCCTCGCATGCAACCCTCCTAAACCCTTCGTGCAGGGGTCGAAACAAGAGCAGAGTATCCCACACCCCAAATCCTCTAGTATACCACAGCCCAAAACCTTGTTCCAATTGATGAAGATCCTTATGCCATAGATCCTCTATAAGACTACTCAAAAGAATCCCTTTGAAGGAGCCCCCTTGTCATGGTCAAGGCCCCAAAACCCTAAACTCTAAACGCATATGCCTCAAACGGGTATCACACCGACAGTGCACCCAAGAACCTCGCCTGGCTGTGTCCGAGTTGTGAGAGCGTAAACGCATATGCCTGGCCTGGATTGTCCGAGTGCGAGTGCCGAAGCCCCAAACCCAAAATCCTAAGCCTTCAAGAAGATGGAGGGAAAAAAAGCCTTCAAGAAGATTCCAACCCCTTAGAGCTTTCAACAAAAACTCAAAACCCTTAGAGCCTTCAGAAAGCCCAATACCCAAAACCCTAAACCCCAGTGTCATGAAGGCCAGGGTATGAGTGAAGGCCCTTTGTCGAGTTTGCAGGCACCGTCGGAGACCGGCTCGGAGTCGGGTGCCGCCGCTGAAACTGGTTTAGGGCCTCTAGGATTTAGGTTAGGGTTGAGATGAAGAGGTGTATCAGAAAGGGTTTAGGGCTTCGAGCGCCAGTGAGAGAGAGAGATAGAGGGTTTAGGGTTTAGCACTCTTTGCAGGGCCCTCAGCTTCTTTTCTTGAGGTGTACCCGGCAGTCGCAATAGGCCTGGATGCAACGGGGCCTAAAGGACCTTTAGGACTCAGGGTTTCCGCACCGGGCCGTGCAGCAAGAAGCCTGCGAAGAAAGGCATTCAGGGTGTTTAGGGCTGCTCGTCCTGGCAGAGTTGAGTTGCAGCAGGCCACCCAAGCCCCCGCATGCCTGATTCTCACCCTCCTTCACCCAAAAAGTCATCTTTCGCCACAACGATAACCACCCAAAACGACGACGCAGCAGCAGCAGCAGCATCAGCAGCAGCAAGAGCAGCAACACGGGCAACAAAATACCGCTGCCAGCATGATCTCCCATGTTCATCATCTTCATTCCGTACGGCCAGGCTTGAGGAAGCAACGACGAAAATTCCCCGACAAAGCTGAACCCCCAAGCCTGTTGCAACTAACAGAGTTCGGCAAATGAAGTATCCGTATTCAGTATCAATGCCCCAGATCCTACGATGCTGTAGACATTAAAGGCATGGAACCGCGGGGCCCTAAACCAGCCGAGCCGGGGTTATCCCTCCTCTCACCCCCAAGGTAATCTCAGCAGAAATTGCAGGAACCCGAACCCAACCTTGCAGGAGGTACCGCCATCCGAAGGTGTTCGGAAGCACACAAGAACTCGAAACCAACACCATGGAAATGCCTAGAAACCCTAGAACCTTCAAGCCCTTCAGGTTTTGTTGTTTTGGAGGCAAGCCGAAACTGAAATCATGTTTTTTGTTGCAAGGGTTTGGGTGTCAGACTTTTTGAGTGGTTTGGCGGTTCAAGGTCAGACTAAAGACTCAAGGATAGTTATGTTTTCTTGGTGGGTGTTGTAGGTCCGTGTGCGACGCGAGAAGGGTCTGCTGCTTAGGCTCTGTCTCCACCACCCTCTTCACAAAGTGCCAGTGGCCCGCCTGAGCAAGAATCATTACGATGGCTATTGTTTTTTTGCTGTTGGTGGTCTAATTTGCATTCGCGTTTCCATTGCCCAGGCGATGACAACACGTACTGTATCACCATATCGCAACTACTAATTCGCCTTGACTAGGGCTGGCTATTGTGATTATTGGTATGAGAACGCTTACTTCCAAGATGAGCTTCTGCAGTTGATTGATTCTTTGGAGCGCGGCTGTCGCTTGCAGTAGTGCCTGGATGTAACTGTATGACTGTATGTGTATCTATTGGTTGTGGCTGATTGCCTTGGCTATATTCATGTCTTTCAAGTCATGACCATTATCGGACTTAAAGGTAGCATGCTCATGAGGATCCTGCTTGCCGATTGCTGGAACTCGTCCACAATCATCGTCACCAAGTTTCGCTTGAAGCGTGCCTTTCTTGAGTTGAGCCCTTACATAGTGTCACCGCTGTTGGTATCGGCAGTGTTGGGAACATTGGCAGTCCTCGTGGTAGTAGTCTTTGCTCACGGCCACTCGATATGTTGGCTGGCACTGACTTCGAGTGCTCCAGGTTAGATGTTTCGATCTAGGGGGGCTGAGTCGGAAGACGTGCGACGGTTCCGGAACTCGTTCAAAGCGGAGGAGGCCCTGCCTCTTTTTCGTGGAGGCTCTTGGGGTCGAAGGGAAATCCGTTCCGGAGTGCGACCTTCGCTACCCAATATGCTGAGAGTGTGGCCTCAGACTGGATCTAAGCTCACGAGTCCATTTCGATGCCCCAGCAAAGTGCCACTCAGGTCGTGCTTTGAATGGAAAAGTGATGCTGCATTAGGTTCTCTAGCTTGCACGGTTAAACTTCATCACGCTCACATGACATTTTTTAGTTCACTGAAGGTCCGAGTGTGTCATCGACGAAGTGCAGGTTGCCGGCCATGTTAAGCGGGGTTTAGGCATCAAAAGGAGGCTCCAGCGAATCAAAAGGGGTCCAGAGAGTCTTGGGAATCGGGAATACGGGATGTGCTTCTTTGGTGCGTTGGACAACTGCACGGTTTGCTTGAGAAGCTGTCTGCAGGATTTGGTGAAGAAAACACCGTGAAAGACTTTACGTGGTTGGGACCCTCAATCTCGATTTCCTTCATGTCGCTGTGCTGTGGAGAGGTTTTGGGTCGGATTTTCGGAGTTGGGCCGCTGGTGCCAGTTTTCACGAAGCCCAGCAGCCCAGCTGGCTACGCACAGAGTCCAAAGGCCTCCCTGAAACGGCCTGCACGTTTTCTGGGCAGGCAACCTGTTCCGACTGGGTCGTGGACTTTGCGAAGACACTCTGGCGCAAGAAGCTCCAAGCCATTTTAAAGTTGCAAGAGGTTTCTTCCTGTTTGGAAGGGTCCTCCAGAACCATTGGCAAGCCTTTCAGACGCCCGGAAGGTTTGGGGCGGCCCCAGACCTTGGCACGACGGGGAAACCCTAAACACTAAACCAAATGAGATGACTAACACTTGTGGCGGCTGGAAAAAGCAAATTGAGATTGCCCAGGGTGGCCTACAGAGGACAGCACAACGCATGCGGCCAGGCCGTGGGATTGACCTTGGAGGGTTTGGGGAAGTCGAGGGCGGACAGGGTCTGGGTTCAGGGTTTAGGATTTAGGGGTTTCCTGGCATATGCCGTAGTCCAGGTGTAAAAAAGGGCTTTCTGAAAGGGTTTAGGGTTTGGGACTGGGCATTACATGACCGATGTAATGGCCACTCTGGTGTTCTTTCGGCGTCAGGTGTCTGCAAAACTCCAAAAGAAATTCCGGCTCCATCGACCCGGAATCCTTCGACCCAAAGCCATCTCGGCGCCTTTTTGACACATCCCGGGCGATGTCACACCGCACGATCATAATATCTCCCCGGCCGCGCAAACCCAAGTCCAAACACCGCCGCAAAAGCAAGAAAGCTCGCTCGGAGGCCTACTCCCTCACGAGGGTGAAGTGTGGCAAAGCGACAGGGCCTCAGATATATGGCGTAGGGATTAGGAAGAGCAACTTGTGGCCTATAGCAGAACTAACTTGTGGCAGCCTGTAAGCTTGTATGTTAGACAAGCCCACATGTGCCCTCACAGATACCACTTGTAAGAGTTACTCTGGTTTCAAGTTCTTGTGGTCAGCAAAAGTATTGCTGCTTAGCAGCATTTGTCTGTTAAAAGTCGTGGGCCGATCGCTTTTGTGATGGGTGCGACTAAACGTTTTCAGACCCGTGTGGTCAAGTTTCAACGGCGATGAGGTTGAAAATGATGAGGGCGGTTCTCGCAGTTGCTCAAGAGGCAACAAAGCGTGACCCCGGAGTTGCAATCCAGGTGCGACGAGTGCCCGATCGACCTCATCAACTGCGAGGCGGGAGCTCTAAACTCCAGGGGTCTAGAAGCTTACCAATACTGTTTGTGGCTTCATTATTATAACTATAGTATGATCGGCTCTAAAACCCTAGTCCAATTATTAAGGCCCCTACATTAAACTCAACACCCTGACCGCGACGACCCAACTCACCTCTAGGGGGCTGTATCGCTGAAACAGCCCAGCATTGAAAGGCAGAAGGGCCCTGATTCCAACCCCCTCTGCCCCCAAAGGTCCTCCAAACCGTACGCTAGTCTTCTTGCGAAGCTCCGAAGCAGAGGTCTGTCTCCTCAGTGCATTGCCATGTTCGAGAGAGTGCGCGAGGACCACGTTGTCCCTGCGTTGTCAAAAAGAAAGCTCTTCATGCGAGACGTCTTCCCATCGGAGAGAGTCTCGTCCTCGCCCGAATGTGGGTAAGTTTGCGGATGAACGTGGTCTTTGTCGCGGTGGCGGGGCTTGGGGGGTGGGGGTTAGGAAGGGGATAATCGGATAGGATCATCTGATCGTCCCGCTCCGTGCCAGTTTCTCAACAGCTTGCCGCCGAAGAGTCCGGATGCAGATGAGCCGCCCGGTCGGGTTGAGGCTTCCAGCTTCGCAGTTGAGTGCTGCTGGTAGACTTGGAACATGTTGGAGCTGCCAGATTAGTGGCTTCGAGAAGCCCTGAGCCACGCCCCCGAAACCTTTTGTTGAGAGAACGAAGCCCCCCAAGTTCTTCCAAGCCGAAGAACGTCAAACCCGAAAGACGGAGCCCAGGAGCACACCGGAGGGAGGCACAGCGGAGGGGAGAGCCAAGAGCATCATGGCCATCGTGACCACGACCACGACGACCGCGGTGAACGGATGCACGTGCGGATCTCAGGGGAAGTAAAATGACTTCTGGCATGTCAAGTTTTGGAAATTTAACTGGAACCCTGCTTCCTTGAACCCATGGCTCTAGGCAAACACAGCAATGCAGGAGACACGTGGAGCTTTTTGCAGTTTGGGTATCCTGGGTGACATTCCTTTTGACCAGCCCATCTTCACAGAACGGCAAACCTCGACCAGGGACGGCTGTGTCGTCGACGGCTCACGCACTTCCTGTGCCGACTGGGTGATGACCTTCGCCAAGCCATGCCGGCGCGTTATGTCTGCAGCACTTGATCCCAGCAGTAGAAGCTCCCCCCAAGCACTGAATTTGCAACCTGGGCATCTAGTCAGATGTGGTGCTTCCTGAGGCCACCTGATTCCCAATAAACGGGACCCCAGAGACTCCAATCTTATGTCATAGTAGGATCCTTAACATGATTTAAGGCATATTCCGCAAGGGATATAATGGAGTCTCTGGGACACCCGAGCTACGGAGAAGACCGGAAGGCGCATCCCATGCCAGGCAGGCCTACCAAGGGCGGCCCGACATTTGCCCACAGGCCTGAGCGGGATCCAAGGATGACACAGATACGCATAGCAGGAGAGATAATTAATTATCAGAGGCGTGTTTTCTTAATGCCACTAGTCATCATGACGCGCAGATTTTTTTAGCACGTGATTTCCCGAGGCCTAGACGTGCGTTCTTTCTTTAAAACCGCTGCTTCTCGAGAAATTCCTTTGGTTTCGGATTCTCTGACAGGATGTGGGATTGCTGGGACGGATGATGGGTACAAGAGTCAATGGACATCACGAGCGGAAGAAGTCAAAACAGTATGCTGCAGGGTCAGGGCGAGGGATATTGCAAACTGCCCTGTGGATTCTTGGGTTTGCAGGGCGTTTCGCTGAATCATTGGGCTGGCCTTCAGAAACCATTCTTCTGGCTCTGCTTCATGGCTTGAAAGACTAAGTCCGAGCCACTGACGGCAAGAGTCCGAAATCCCAGACACCCAATCCCTACAGCATTGGTAATTGGTAACCAGGCCGACCCCTGAAACTCTCACCCCGAACGAAAGCCACCATGTCTGTCCAGCCATGATGAATTTTACCAAATCCCTTTCGAACCACAATATATGAGTCCTTGGAGCCCTAATCCCGTATCGACCGGATTCGAAGTGCCCACCTACCCTCCAGGCCTACACTCGGATGCGGGTGGAGTGTCCGTCAGCGACCGGGCCCCAGCTTCTTCGCACTGCTGCCATGTTTGTTGCTTTTAATTATCATTCATCATGATTCTTACTGCTGTTGTTGCATCTACTATTACTAGTAACTAGTACCACCGCAAATACCACTACTAGCCATTTTGGCTCAAGGAGGCACACCCTAAGAAACCACCAACCCTCGCAAGCGCTTCAAACATGGCCTTGCTGTGTGGAAAGAGGGATCGACAAACCCTCCTCTGCCAGATGTTGCCAACAACCTGCCTGTGATTGCATGACGGGAGAGCCTGTGCTCACCCCGAGTGGGAGACGATCCAGCATTGTGAGATTTCTCGCCTTTGCTGCCTTCCGCTGTGCCTATGTGATGAAGCCATCTCTGCATACTACGACATGGCACAACGATTTCTGGAATTTGGTGCAATCAGGTGCAACACACTGAATTTACTGCATGTGCAAGAAAACGAGCCCAGGTATGTAGAGATGGACATATCTGCAGGGAAAGACTACCTGGCTGCAGACTGGAAACAGAATTCAATATGTGTGGTGGGAGATCTGTCAACATGATGTGAACCAGACTTCGTGTCATCGTTGACGGCCACCCATGCCAGTATGCAAGACACACCAGGTAGACCCCCCCCAAAAAAAGCCAAATCAGTAGCGGCAGAATCTGAAGACGACTTGCCTCCTGCGACAGTATGGGAACGGTGAGTATTAGCGCTGATTGGCAGCTCTGCTCATCTCCTCCTACGCTACAGTCTGAACTACGTGCCGCTGGACATCTTTGGTACAGTGCTGACCGGGATTGAGTACACTGGTCACGCAGGGTATTCAATCGGGTTTGCACAATCACTGAGAAATTTGTACATAGCAGGAAAGCTAATTCAATATGCAAGATTGATACATGTGATGGCATTCTCAATTTGAATAAAATAGGTAATTGTCCTACTTGATATTCTTGGTTGGTTGTTTAAGTCTTAGTTTCGCAAGCTTGCATGTGCATGTGCCTGCATGATGCATGAGAGTAGTTCCCAGCGCCCTTCCCAGGGTCCCACTTGTCTTCTATGTGCTTCAGTGCGTGGGACCGTGGGAAGGATGCAGTCCAAGCCGATACAGTCAGTTTATGTGTTGGGATAGTTGTGGTTGACGTACTGCGACTGGTCCTTTGAAGAAGTTTCACATTGTCAGACTCCGAACCATATGCCTCGCCTGGACTGTCCGAGTGTGAGCGCCGAAATACCACTACTACAAGGATGACTACTGCACCGTTCAAAACTACCCACGGCTGCTACCATTGGCATTATTGGTACATGTGCTTTTATTGCAACGGCTCTCGGTTTTAGGGAGTTGTGGGTTGAAGGTGTCAGTGGCACTCCTAGCAAGAAGCCCTGGCGAAGGGCTCTTGGGTGGGTGTGATTCCAGGGGCCCGTTGATTTGCACCAGGTGCATTGTGGATGCTCTGTTCTGCGTGGGGGGATTTCGGTAGTCAAATCGTGTTTGATGAAGGGCGATGCTGCGACGAAAGCCGAATGCAATAGAGTTGTATCTGGGCACTGCATCCGCGGACCCGCTAATTGCCAAGGCCGTTAAAAGCCCCAGAGAGAAGCTGCAGGGGCTACCAGTACTGAGGTGCAGCCGCTGTGCTCTGGACGCCATTGACTGCAAGGCTGGCATTGGAGCCGCGGTTCTGGGCCTCGGGTCTTTGGTGGTCTTGTGACTTCGGTGCTTCGTTGTCGGAGTGCTTTCCATCTTCAGAAGGTGCCGGGGTTTCTGATGCCGGGCTGTATTGCAGGCCGACGTTAATCCGTGCGTGTACATACGAACGTGAATGCGTTCCGCGAATGCTGCTGCTGCATGCTGCTGCTGCTGCTGCCAGTACTACTGCCGCAGTTGCTGCTATTCCTACGACGACGAGTACTTCTTCTACTATACAACTCGTACAAGTGAAGGCAGTAAATAGCGGCACCACAACGCAGAACGGGGCTCAACATGGATCCGCCAACAACAGGAACAGAGAAGAGCAGGGGGCGTTGTAGTGGTAGTCACTGGTAGTGGTAGCAGCAGCAGGAGTAGGCGAAGAAGATGTAGTAGTAGTGGGAGTAGGAGTAGGAGTAGGAGTAGGAGTAGGAGTAGGAGTAGGGGCAGGGGCAGGGGTAGGGGTAGGGGTAGGAGTCGGAGTGGGAGGGAGCAGGAGTAGGAGTAGGAGCAGCAGCGGCAGTCCTGCATTTTCGACAACGAGGAGTGGGAGATAGATTTTTTTTGCTGAGAATTATTGTCTGTCAACAGAGAGTTTGATCACGTGGGGCACTTCAGACCCGCTATTCTGATGGACCACTCTTGCGTTGCGTGGGAGGCCATCAACGGCTTGCCGCAGCCGCCGACGACGCAGATCGACACAACCACAACTGAGACAACGACTGAGGCAGTGCCAACTACCACCCCACTCGCTGCCAAGGCTGTCTTCATCTACACGACCACCACAACCACCACAACCACCACGACCACCACGACCACAACGACCACCACGACCACAACGACCACAACCACCACAACGACGACCACCACAACGACGACGACCACCACCACAACAACCGCATTCACCCCAACCACCGCTGCAGCGGCGCAGGCATACAGAGAAGGACAGGAAGAGGCTTGGACACAAAAGAAGCATAGCGATATGTAGCCATGACCCACAGTCTCATTTTCTCCTGAAGTCAGCAGGATTTCCGGTTGAGCGTTTGGCTGCAAGCAAGTTGAGAGCTTCTCCTGGATCTGAGGCGTCTGCAGAGCAACATGATGCTGAGCAGTGGGCTTTGGAGCAGGCTCGGCAACGGGCGGCCGCGGAGCCAAAGGCGGGAGAGCAAAGGGCTCCTCGGCAGCCTTCGGAGGAGCCCTCTGAAGCTCAAGAGGAGCCTTCTGAGCATGATTGCTCCGCAAACACGGAGAACTGGATGGAGATGTGGTCCTTGGAGAAGTGCCTTAGCCGCTTCAGGGACTGGGCATGGGTGCTGAGGTAGATCATTCAGTTTTCGGATTTTTGAAGTGGTGTCCTCTAGACTCTATCATCGGAGAGTACTTTTGGCAGCTCCTGCTTCGCGAGGGCCAGAATCTCTGATGGCTTATCCTTGCAGGTTTGCGAGGTTGTTATTCTTAGAGGCTTGTGGCGGTCACGATTCGTGGAATAGAACGAAGCAGAGAAGTGCCAGCAATCGGGGTGTAGGCGTGGGCACCTCACCACGAGCAGGGAAGTGGCTGAAATCTCGAAGCCTTTGAACCACCCTGTGCTCTGCGGATTCTCAACTCCTTGTCATGTTGAACCGACGGCCGACAGCCACGTTCGTAACCCGCAGACAGCAGCGCCAAGACCCAGATATGCCGAAACCCTTACTTGACACCCCTGTGTAGCTGCAGCCATGAGTTCTGAAGCCCTTGCTCAGGAAGCTTTTCTGCTGCCGGAATGGCGCCATGCAGTGTCCCTTTTGAAGGCATAGGGTTGTTTTCCTCGCTGACGAAGCCTGTCGGGGTTTCCACGCTTGGGGATCAGAGGGCCTAGGACTTGACATGGGACCAACGGAAACGAATGCAGCTGTTCGGCAGCGATGAGGGCCTGTTTCACAAGCCACCGCGGGCCGCTGGATGAGAATTCTTCGAGAGCTCGGCTAGAGCCTTTAAGTTCGGGTTCATGTCCCGCCTTGTAGGTTCGGTCGAGGGTTAGAGCCTGAAGAGCCCCGAATCCAGGACCATGGGCCTGTGACAGCAAAAGTATTGAAGCTCAGATCCGATCTGCCGGCAGGAGCTCACGAGGCAAGGGCCTCGTCTAATTCGTGGCACGAGCACGATCTATCCTTGACGTCATCCTGCTGCCCGTGCAGCCACTACCACTGCCGGTGCCACTGTCACCGCGACCACTGCTACTACTGCTACGACGACTACTCCTACTCCTACTACTCCCGCTTAATATTGTTACTACTACTACTACTACTACCACCACTACTACAATGCAACTACAACTACAATGCAACTACCACTACAACAACTACTACTACCACTACTACCACCACTACCACTACTACCACTACTACCACTACTACTACCACTACTACTACTACTACTACTACTACTACTACTACTACTACTACTACTACTACTACTACTACTACTACTACTACTACGTTACTTCTGCTTATGCTTCTGCTTCTGCTCTCCCTCTGGTCGCGAACGGAGCCCGCCTGGCGTCCGGCGTCCTTAGCCCGGCTGCACTCAGCAGCAGCATAAGTTTTTACGGTCCGAAGAATAAGGCACCGCCCCGAAGGGCCCAGCATGCCGTATGACCCGAGCCAAGATAACATTAACAGTTGGCGAGCACATACTGTGCAGTTCTGCTTCTGCTGCTCGGCTACGGTCACGACGACGACGACTACTACTGCTACTTCATTACTACTACTACTACTACTACTACTACTACTACTACTACTACTACTCCTGCTGCTACTACTACTACTACTACTACTACTACTACTACGACTACTACTACCACCACTACCACCGCTGCCACCAGCACCAGCACGCCGCGCCCATTCCAACTGTCACATCACCACCACTCCCACTCTCACCTACTTTTAACTATTACCACAGCTATTACCAATGCCACAACCAGCATTACTAAGACCATGCCTGACGCTACCACAGCCTACTCCTGCTCCTAATTACTCTTACTACGACTACGGCTGCCGCTGCTGCTAGACGACCACCACTCCTGATGCTGTCACTGCTGCTACTGCCTGATATTACATACTTCTTCGCACTTACTGCGTGCTTCTTACTACTCACGACTTGCTACCTACTACTTGCTACCCACTTTCTACTTAACTTTTGCTACTTACCGTTGACTACTGATTATTGATTTCTGACCACTGACGATTTCCCGCCTCCTACTTGCTATTTACCACTTGCAGTTGCCATTTGTTGCCTACTGCTTGCGACGCTGCTGCAACTACTACTGCCAAGAGTGCCACTCCTGCTACCTGTGCTACTGATGCTATTCCTACTAGTAGTGCTGCTGCGCCGACTGCTTCTAGAACCATGTGCTTCTCCTCCGGCTATGTAGGGCTGCGCCGCTGAGGGTCCCTTGAGTTCAATCATCATTACTTTTGTTGTCCTGCGGTACCACCAGAACCGGACAACACAATGGTTGTCAGGCTAGTTAGGGGGGTTGGCCTTCGCTTAGGGGTGCATGGGCAAACCAGGGCAGCGTTATTTGGATGTCGCGACTTCGTTCGTTCTCCAGGTCATCAGGATGCAGGCACAGGATGACATTCAAGGGTAGCAAGATCACGTGTCTCCAGTGCGCTATCGTAGTGTAGGGTGGGTGAAGGCAAAGGACTTCAGGCCCACGTGAAAGATTCACAAAGCCTCCGTGCGCGTGGTTTTGTAGTTTTCAGCGTCAGTCCTGCCGCACGTGTCGCATTCTCTCCGTTCGACGATCATGTTGCATCGAAAGTTGTTTTGACATGTGGCGAGGATAGAATGTGCGTAAATGAAGGCACATTGTACGAGTTTCACAGGCGCTGAACACCTGTGCCATCAGCTCACTGGGGCAAAAGAACTCGGCCGAAGCTATCCGCGGTTAGATTCTAGACTCAGCGGCGACAAGACCAGCAATCGATCTGGAGATTCGGGCTTCGAGAACGTGCCTGATCGCCAGCTGATTGTATTAGGATCCGACGTGAGAAGTTGCAAGAATCGCGGTGCCCCACTGTGTCCGTTGGATGAGAGCATGAAGATGCCCGAAGCCCTACTTGTCTAGGTCTTGTTTTTATCATGCCACTCGGAAGTATGCAGCGCGCGCAATCTAGCACCAACTAAGTGCGCATGCATGCAGTTTTATTGATTGTTGTCTGAATTACCTCCCGATCTTGGTAGCACGGTAGCACGGTCTTTCGGCTGCTGCACGAGTGCCGTCCTCAACAATTTACTTTTGGGGATTTACTGTGCTACTTGTATTACAGGGCCGGCCCCATAGGCATTGTGCCCGGACCGTCCTTCTGAAAGGAGACCGAGCTCCAAGCAACGCACTGTGACAGAACCCCATTGGCATCGGATTATCTTCCGAATCTCCCAGGGACTGTATTCTATCTACTTCTTCTTCTGAATCGGCCCGATACGCCGAGTCACGTTGTTGACATGTCTTCAAGGCTCCAAGGAAAGCCAAGTTGACGTGACATGACAAGAACTCCCCTTGTGGAGTGTTGAGCCTTCACACGAGTGCCTCGCCGAACGCGACTACATAATTCGGCATCTCCTCTAGCTGGATGGCGGTTGTTTTGGAGAATTGTTCTTCCCCAAGTTCTGTTTGCACAGCAGGAAGCATACTGCAACATGCGCAAGTCGTTTGAGATACCGCTAACCTTGAGTTACAAAAGCCCTCGACTTCAAACACCAAGTGCCCCGATAGAACTGGATGCTTAATTCGACGCCTTGTGCATTGGCCTGCGCTTGATGTGGGCTTAGCCAGCAAGGCCGCTGTCTGAATGAATTGAGATGTGCAATATCGATGGGACTTAGATCCGGAGCCTCAGTGGAATGAGCAGATGACAGGGCTCCATTGTCCCCAACCCCCAGTGCGTTTTCTCAACTTGCTCCTTTAAACACAAAGCCCTAAACCCTGAGCGCCGAAGCCTGCACTACCACATGAATCACGTCATAATTCATAGCCCTTATGATGCGTTATCTTATACCATCTTACATTGTCTTACATGATCGTATATTACCGCCGTATATGATCATACGTCATTTTATGTTATCTTCTATTGCCTGACATATAGTATCTTATGTTACCTTCTGTTGTCTCATATGATCTGATAGTAACCTTATGTTTTCCAGGAATGTCTCATGTTATCTCATGTTATTCTTCGTTATGTCACAATATCTGGGTTTGTCTTGTGCCATATTACGCTATCTCGTATTGCCTCGTCTTCTCGGCTTATAGCAAATCACCTTGTATTAAACTGTATTATATGATACTGTATCTTATCTTATCTCACCCTATGTCACCTCAGCCTTTTATCTTGATTTGTACTTTGTCTTGCTCTATCTTATCTTATCTTATATGGTCTTAATCTTGTTTTGTCTTATGTTATCTTTTCTTACCTTATCTTACGCTCTACTACTTTATTTTACCTTGTCATACCTTACCTTATCTTACCCTTACCTTGTCTGATCAGAATCATCAGTTTGTCTTGTTCTATCTTATCTTATCTTATCTGATCTTATCCTATGTCATCATCTTTCTATCGTAATTTCCTATTAAACGAATATGGTTCTTTTCAACACTATATGTTGGATAACTATAATTGTCTAGTGGCCTCGATGGGATCTACTCAGCTCGAGCCAGGCCTTGCAACCGTTCCGCCATGGCAAGGCAGCGGAGAAGGGTGCTCGGGGGCATGCGATTTTTTTGTGCGTATTATGTGTTCTACGATGACCACGATTCGCATGTTGCCCTTGACCGGCGTCATCAGTGTTGTTAATGTCTTGCGGCTGATGGCATTATCGGTGTAAGGCCGACAAGAGTGTATGTATGCTTCTTCGCTCCGGCTGTATGCTCTGGTCGACAGCAAGACAACATGTGCCCAGAAGCTGCGTTGGTTGGGTTATACTATATTTCTTGTACATTAGAGACAAGTATAGATGGGCCAAGACAGGACTGTGGTGCTCGTCGGCTTCCTGATGATGGCGGGCTTTATCGCACTCGCCTCAAACGGCGCAGGGAGCTTTTGTCCCGTGCCCAAAATCCTTCCGCGGAAGACCCGAAAACCCCAGCTGTGACAGCATCCAGCGTAATGCTAAGCTGTCGAGTCCCTGCTCGAGGCCATGATCATGCTGAACCTCTCGCACGCACACAGCGAGCTGGACAGCGTCCAGAACACCGCGGAGGTTATCCGAGGGCATTCCTACAGGAGAACCCCAACGTCCAACACATGCCCCCGCCCATGCGTGCATGGGGGGCTGAGGGGCTTGTGGTTGTTGACAGGTTGACACTCCGACTTGCGGTTGGGATTGGAACGGTTTTTGGGCTTTTGCGCGCAGTCGCGGACGGCAGGTGCAAGCGAGGGAGATCAAGGGCCTGAGCCAGGCACGGGCCGTGCATGCAGACCTAGGTTTGCATCCGCTGAGTTCCTTTTCTGTGCAGGCGCACAACCAGCTGTCGGCAGACCTCAGGGAGAAGTCCGCCAGCTGGTGCGGGGACCCGATTCGCGTGGCTCTAGAGTCGTTGCCTCTTCCGTGTCATCCGTAGGTCTTAGATGTCTTAGGCAGGCTGCATGGGTCGTAGCTTGCACGCAGGGGAGAGCTTGCAGCAAACGTGGACAAGCAGAAGGCCGCTTGGATGCAACGTGGCTTTGAGCTTTGTGGCAGCGGGCCTCTTGACGATCTCGAGGTGATGATCGAGCAGCAGGAGCAGCGCATCGCGATCGTGAGCGAACAAGAGCCCGGGATTCCCGGATTTTTGGAGTTCGGCTCGGTTGTAGGTGTCAGGGATGCTTCTTCCGGCTTTTTCTGCCCATAGCTGCCAGATCTGTCAGTTTTACTTGCAGCTGCGGGCGGGGATCAGGTGGTTCTCCCCAATGGTGCTTTGGCATTAGTGACCGAAGAGCCCTTGAATCCTGGAGCCTCTGCGCAAAAAGGCCTGTTCGTAAGCCCCTGACCCCTGACCGTCGTACCAGTCTGTTTGTACCAGTCTCCGAGTACGGCCAAGAGCACCGAGTCCACTTCGAGACTCGAGAGGTGTAAGAGAACGCTCAACACGAACCCCGGTTTCCGCAATCTGTGTCGACCTGTCAGGCAACCGCCGTCATTACTGTTCTATGGTTCATGCTTGTAATTTTGGAGGTCCATAGGACAGCCTGACTCAGTATTGTTTTTCGGCCCTCGTAGCCATCCTCGCGTCGAAACCCTAAATGCTACGCCGCCGCAGTAGCTGGGAGCTATCCTGGTTTCACTCCAACCATGCTCGATAGACCTCGCCTGTAAATGCTACGCCAATACTTTCTGACCACACCGACAAAAGGAGCCTGAACCGCTTGAGACCCACACTGCCGATGTCTTTCGAAGTATCTCCAGGCATGTCAACAGGGTGCAAGAGTCGGACGCACATGTCCCTGTTGCAGAGGGATGGTTTCTTCCTCCTGGAAGTTGAAGTACTGCTTGGGTAGACTTAAGTGACTCAAAGTAGTTGGAACATGTTGGAACCGAGTGCGCAGCAAAAAGGCACCAAAACATTTACGCCTGTGAGCTCTGAAGCAAAAAAAACCCGGCAGCGCCGTAGAACCCTCAACCTCCCCCTCCCTATCTTTCAAGGAGGCGAGCTTCCCTTTGCCTTTTAGACAAGGCGAAAGTCCCGATCCGAGCTGCAACAAGCCCGGTCGGGCCTCGACGAGCTCTGGCGCAAGGTGCCGGGCTTCGGGGGCGGCGGCGCGGGGCGGCGCGGGGCGGGGGGGGGCAGTTGGGTTTTCGGGCCTATCATTCGGGTCTTGCGCAGGTCTGAGAAGGTGTCGGCGTGGTCTTCTGTCACCTCGGCAGGGTTTGATGGGATATGGGATGTGGGATCCCTGCTAGCATCGGAGATTTGCATGCAATAAAGCTTTGTGGGGTGCTATGTGCCCAAGCGGGCCTGCTGGACCCGAGAATCCGAGATCCAGCTATTGCTGTTCTCCTTGTGATCGTTAGGTTAGGTCGTCGTCGTTGTTGCTATGGCTGCTGTTGTTGCTGTTGCTGCTGCTGCTGCTGCTGTTGCGGTTGTGGTTGTGGTCGTAGTCGCGGCAGTGGTGCTAGTGCTGGTCGTGACGTAGTTGTTGGTGGTGTTGGTGGTGTTGTTGGTGGTGGCGATGGTGGTTGCAGGCAGAAGCTGGCCGTTATCACTGATTCAGCGCCGGCCCAACACCCACCAGCCACAAAACGTCCGGCCAATGCTTGTGGTTCAAGCCCACAGCCTCAGGACTCAAGTGAACCAATTCCCGGCACTGCAGAGGACAAGCTCGATAAGATGTCAACCCATCTCTTTGCCCGGAAGCCGCATACGTGTTGAGGGCAAAGCAACTTTGCCCCAGCCTTGTGCACCTCAATGTGTCCACACCAGAAAGTTTTGTCGCACTCACCCTCGCTGTCGTCTGTCTTCAGAAGGTGGAAATCTTGCACACTGTCGTGTTGAGGGTGAGGGGTAGGTTCGAGCCGGCACCAAGAAGTGAGCTCGAAACTCCTCTAAACTTAAAAGCAAGCCCTACACATCCCTACACCCTCAATCCCTCCCAAAACCCCACCCCCAAGCCCTAAACCCCCCAAAACCCTCAACTCCCTGACTCCCTAAACCGCGCCGACAAAATGCCTCGCCTGGTTTGTCCGAGTGTGAGCGCCGAAACCTGTCAAAAACCCAACACGACCCAGCGCGGCCATGGCTCTGCGGGCACCCGGCGCCCTCGCCGAGCCCGGAGACCTACGCAAGAGCGTGGTGAAGGCGTGGAAACTTCTTGGGATTTTTGTGCAATATCAAGTGCTCGAGGCTCGAGGCTCGAGGCTGTGGAGCGTGTGCAGGGCTTCGAGGCTCTGCGGTTAATTCAAGCGCTTTCGTGGGGTTCGACAGGGGTTCTGTGGAGGGTTTGTAGGAGAGTCATAGATTGTAGGCGCTGTAGAAGGGGTTCTTTGAAGAGCCTGTAAGGGTTCAGACGATGTTACAGGGTGCTTTCAGGCTTCAAAGCCTCGGAGCTTTGTGGGCTTTGAGGCTTTCTTCGGCTTGGACTTCTGCGCTCACTTAGCTGCAAGCCTCCCTCCTCCCGCCTCCCTCAGCCTTTTTGCAAGCACTCGGGGTCCGCAGTCTGAGCTGTGCAGGTCTTCGTGAGATCTGCCCACGCAAACTGGACCTCACCGTGGCAGCATCTTGGTTCACAGCGCACCGGGGCACATCGGAGCTGGTCTTCGAAGCCTTTTGGTCTCTAGCTGCCCGGTCCCTTTTAATGACCATCGCATCAGAAGTCGCAGAAACCTGAACAAAACCCTTCCGACGATAAATTCCAGACTTTACCTGGGAAGGAGCTTTGAGATCGGAATGGCTAGAGCGAGTAAGAGATCACAGGGGTCCTGGACCTCAGCCTTGCAGCACCCGCAGTATCAGTGCGTGTATCAGCCTGGAAGTGCTGTAACTTCAGACCTTTCGGCTCTTTCTTCAACTGCACAGTCATTCGCACCCATGTCTTGCGAGAATAAGGTCGTAGGTGCCAGAAGCCCTGCTGCTCCCCGATGCGCCAAAGGCCCATCGGAAGCCCTGAACCCCGACTGACCGCCGCCAGCCCCTTATTCAAAAGCCCAAACCGTAAGCTCGAGAGGCCTCGTCCGGCAGAGTCCGAGTTGCGAGAGCGTAAACCGCAAGCTCTTCCATCTAAGGACCCAATCACAGACCTCTTCAACCGGATCTGGCCCCTTCTCACTGCAGTCGCTACAGTAGCCTGGGAGCTTGAAGCGCAAGGCTGCAGGTTCCAGGCCTCAGCATAACTGGGGTGATGCTCTTGTCAAACCTTGCAGCTCAGACACCATGGGTCGAACTCCGAAGCCTTCGAAGCGCGCAAACTTCGCAGGAACCCCTCTGAGCCCAGGCTTCTGCATCGATGCGTCCCGTCAGCAGGTGCTGACCAATGCCCACGTCGTCAGCCACGCGGTGGCCGGGCCGCGAAGACTTCTGATTTCGGTCCTTCTCCGCTGAGGAATTTCCGTGGCTCTAACACCCTAAAGCCTTAGGCCTAGGCCTGTGGACCTGCATTTGGTCACAGGACAACTGAGCAAGAACGGGCGCTGGCATGACTTCGGTACTGGTCCCAAGCTGGCAGCTTCTAGAGCGAAGCTGTACACGTGGGATGACAGGCCTCAGCGTGACATGTAGTTGAACCCGAGCACCCGAGACAGAAGTGCGCGCTTTCGATCGAGCCCTCCATGCCGGGAAGCCTGAGGTGGTCGTGCGTGTGCGCCGCTATGGGCAGGCCGTTAGCTACCCTGCCAGTGCCCCGTCGGAGATGACTCTGGGATTCGCGGGTTTTTGAGGTGAGCTTCGCAAGAAGATACAATGCGGGGGCACTGTGTTTTGGGGCACTTTGTGTTGCTGTGCTGGGGCAGAGCTTGAGGAGCGACAAGAACAGCTCTTGGCTCTTGGAACTCTTTATAAATCATAGCCTAGAGGGCCATATGTAAATCCCAGTGCCGACCTGTCGGTGAGCAGCTGGGTTGTATACGACTGACGTAAACTGTCCACGAGGCAATCTTTTGTATTGGGTTCGTTGAAACGCAACCACGAACCAACCTCTTGCATCAAGATGAGGAAGGGGAAACAAAAAAGAGCACCACGGTGAATTCCACAGCATCGCTAGCTTGCTGGCGTTTCCCCAAGTGGCCTGAGGTGTGCTTTGTTCGTCTCCACAATGCGACCTTGCCGTGCTGGAGGTGTCGCAGTTTTTGTCCGAAGGGGTCTCGAGGGGGGCTTTCATGGGCTGCAGCTGGGATTAGTAACAACCCTAAACCCCAAACCCTAAACCCTGAACCCTGACAAGGTTTCTAAGGTCGCTTCGGATGCAACCTTGCATGCCGGCGGGTTCGTAGGCGACATGCCCTGGTGCTTGCCGTGGAGCTCATGGCTGAATTGGCCATGAGCACGCAATCACTCTCACAGCGTCCCAAACCCGATCTTGCTCGTAACCTCGACTTCTGTTGGTGGCCGCCAGTCCGCACAGCCGTGGGTCCTTTTTTCGGAGACTGTTGTGGCAGAGTGACTCGGTCATACTCAGTCCCAGTCAGGACGTCTCAGGAAATTCAGGAACCTCGTGCCACCGCCATAACACTTTTCGCCGGGTGTCGAATCGAAGTCCATGTTACAATCTCATAAACGAGTGCAGACTGCAGCAGACATGCTGCAGCCCGGCTGCCTAGACCGAAGCCCAACAGCTACCTTACCTATCTCGAAGCCTGAAAAAGTGCTGCAGCGCAAGCTCGTGAAGCCTCAGCTCCACACCCCTGAAGGTCACGGACTCTGGCTTCTGGGAGGCCGTGTAGTCTGACCGTAAGTGTTAAGGTGTAGTCCACGGCACTTTGGTGGAACATGCATGTTGGGATTGCAGCGACGACAGTTCTCGCACTTGTACAAGGAGACTTGTGTACGATCTCAATCTGCACATGAACTGCACTAGGCTACACATGTCAGCTGTGCGTGTGTGGTTCAAAAAACTCTGACAAACACCAAATGTGTGGTTGTCGAGCACAGGCTTGGGTTACGACAGGAGAACAGCTGTGCTAGCTGCAGGGAGGTTCCGTAACACACCTGCAAGAAGCAATGCATGCCTCCCAATGCAATTGCAGCTCATGCCCAGGGTCCCAAGGCCATGCAGCCACTCCCTCATGCCGCTACTCCCTATCATGCAACAGGGCCTCGGCGCCATCGAGCTCTCCGAAGAGATCCCACCGCTCGATGCCGATGTTCTCACCGTGGGCCTCTGGGGCCTCAAGTTGATTTCCCTCCATTTCGGGTTTCACGGCTGTGAGGGTGACGGTTCTTACCTGTGGCCACCAATGCATCATACATCGATGGTGCGAATGCAAACGGTGGCAATGGTGACTTGCTTGGCAGGTGAGAGATCCGATCAGTGAGACATTCAATCCGAAAGAGCCCCACGCCCGAGTTCTGAAGTAATGAGGATATCCTATGGGCGGCGAGAACATCTGCGTGACGCGGGGCGTGGTGTCACGCATCGACCTGATGGACTACACCTTCTCCCCCATAGGCCAGTCGAGTCGGGTTCTTCGGTGTTTGGGGGCGTGGAATGTGGAGGTTCTGCAGTTTCGGGTGTCCTACAGGGTGCCCACATGTGCCCGCGACAATGCCTCTAAAGCTTGGGCGAGGGTGAACTGGCAGCGCCTCCTATCCCAAGCGTGAGACTTGGGACATGCCAACAGCATCTGCTGCAGCTGCTGCTGCCGCACTGCAACTACGGTCGCGGACGCCGCCACCGCCACCATGAGGGGTGACATGTCGTGACATGTGTCTGCAAAGGCGGTGAGCGGCAGCTGGTGATCCAGGCAGCCGTTTGTGTCGGCTCGGGCTTCTTGCCAAGCGTTGTAATATGGTTCACGGTAATTAGGCAAAACTATACTGTGAACTGATACAAATTTGGATGACGAGTCCGTCAACGTACATTTTTACAACAGCAAGTAAAATACCCGCCCAACAAGGACAAGGCCTAAAGCGCTGGATGATGGTAGCCAACAGCTCAATCATAAACGGCGAGGTTGGAATAATAAGCGCACCTGCATTAGTCAAGGAGTTTTTACTTGCGCGACGGACTAAAGTGTAAGGAGAGCAGCCGAAAGAAGAGCACACACGTATGTCTGGAGGTACGTATGTAGGTTAGCAGGTGTGTATAGGAATGTTACTTGGCAAGGAAGGAGGGCAGGCAGGCAGGTATGTATGTGTATTTGTATTTCGTTTACGCACAGACGCATGATACCTGCATGCCTGCCAGCTTGCTGGCCGGCTGGAAGACCGACCAGATGCACGTACACGTGACTAGTCAGCTGCTGGTCTATGTATCTACCTACCTGTTCACTTATGGGTCTTGCGGCGCCTCCGCACATCAGTGCACACAGGCATGTCTGCTTTGGCCGTTCTGTGTTCTGTGTCTCCACAGGAGACTTCCTTGGAAAGCAGTCGTGTACACAAGTTAATGTACTGCAAGAGTCTTGGGGCCCTGTCGGTGCAAGAGTTTCAACAGGATGTTGTTTTCCGCACAGGATGTTGTTGCATCGTGGAAAACACAAGTGCGTCCGACTATGCAACTGCCGTCTGCAAACGGGCTTTGTAAGAGATTGCAATCGCGGGAGTTTGGTTCTTGGGGTTTTCGACCGTAGGCCATTCCTTCAGATCCAGCGCAGGTCGACGCCGCAATCAATCCTGGAAACTCCGGAGGCCACAAAAGCGGGCATAGCTTTTCCATGAAGCTCTCTGATGGCATCACCACCATCGCTACCACCACAGTGTACTTGGCCATCAACAGGATCGTTGTCGTCATCCTCGCATTCTGCCACGTCATCTTTGAGGTTATAGCTTTCGTAAGCATTTTTATTTTGCTTTTTCACGGCGACACTTTTCATTTCCTCATTGCGCTTCCCCTGTAGCATCACCATCACCTGTTTCGACTGCTAGTTCAGCTGTTTATGTTGCGAACGGGGCAGGTGGCGGCAAGAGATCTGTGGGTCTGGCTACTGTTTCCAGCTGTCGACAGCAAGAGCGGAGCCACCTCAGAACCCATCATGGGAAGAGGAAAACCCGGATTTGGAATACAACGTCACTGTGAACGCTTGAAAGTTGATCGACCCTTTAATGTGTGGAAACCCCAACTTGAACACCCTATGACCTAAACTCAAAGTCATAATCCAAGCTCATTGGGTGTGTTGCCTCAACACGTCGCCTGATGCTGTCGAGAGCAAGTGCCAAAAACATGTCGAGATCCCTTTTTTTTAAACCCTGAACCCTAAAGTCGAAACCCCAAACCCTAAACCCTACCACGTCTGGCTTTCCCGAGTTGCGAGAGCGTAAGCCCTACCTCACACTTTCACCAGGCCCGGTGCTCGATGCTCAGGGCAGGGCAGCAGCTCGTGCCCAAAGTCGATTGGTTTAAGGGGATTGTTTGAAGCCGTTTCAGTTGAGAGGAGATTCTGAGCTTTACTGGGGGGCTTAGATGGTCTTTGCGGCTGTTATTGCCCCGGGTCTACTGTAACGATGCTAAGGGTCAGAACTTGAAGGGGTTGCTGTAAGGTGTGACGGCTAAAGGCTGAGAAGTTTTTTGAGCAACGGAGGCATGGATCTTGAAGAGAGCTGGTAGCATCATTCGATGGTTCGTGGCACTGTGGTCAACAGACCGCCCAGAGCTCATCAAATTAACACCCTGATATTGGTATAAAAATTAGAGTGCATAAGATAATCGGCTTCATGACCATCTTGCTCCTCATTTTCAGTGTCACCCCTTTCTGACTTCACTTATTCGAACCGACAAGACCGAGAGTACATGACCCCACCGCAAAGCAGCATTTCACAACAGCAGTCGAATGTGACAGTGACCAGACCACAGTAGCTGCTTCGAGGTCGGCGTTGCATTTGCCGGGCTGCGTGCCAGCGCCAACATCGGTGTCTGGGAGAAGCATCAGCTGAGCAGTGAGATGAAACGAGGGCTGGATGGAGATTGGATGGAGATTGCATTGATCATCTAGGAAACTCTGCTGGAGAAATAACATGAGCAGGATTGGAAATTTGTTCAGTTCTTCTCATGGAGCACTAGGTGTTGCTGGCTTGCGGCTTCGCCAGATCGATTCTAAGCTGTTCACTCTCGATCTTTTGTTGAAGCAAGACTTGTTCTTGATTTCATTCCCTTTCTCGTTCTCCTCCCTCCTCGATTCCTCGCCCAACCAAACGACAGTCATTGTGATCTGCAGCATCACGTCTATTATCGTGTTGACCTCATCCCCCCTCCCAACCGTGTTCTACTTCCAGGCTATGTGATCCCCGGTGCGGTGGTGCATTTCTTCCTTCGCAGCCTTCGCGGGACGCCCGTGGGTTTGGCAAAGGCAGGGAAGAGACGCGCAATCCTGTTCCCGTTCCAGTATATGTGCTTGTTTTTGAGGCTGTGCTTGAACTCCGCACGAGGCACGAGATTGCAAATGTGAGCCTGTCATTTGGATTTTCAAAATCTTCCCCCCAAATCCGCGAAAAATCACCGGGTCCAAAACTGAACCCCTCCCTGCACCACTCAAGACCCAAGACCCACATCACATGCGACACATTCTGAAACTTCACACCCCAAGCCCCGATGCCACAATGCTCCGAAGCCCGAAACGAAGGCCCGGCAGGATGCCTTTATAAGAATAATAATGAGAAGAATCATAATATAAGAGTTAAGAGTAAGAGTAAGAATAGAAAGAATAATGATAGTAACATTAATGGTATCATATACCTCAGCGCCTTATGGTGATTATCTTGGCCCCTATACTGATTTGGGGTTTCGTGTTTTGTTCTAGAGGCCCTTTCTGCTCCATTGTCCCCTTGAAGGGCTTTGGGTTTCAAACTCGCATTTCCCTAAACTTCTAGCCAAACACAAGAAATCCCGCGCCACTGAATCCCCGAGCCTATTCACAAAACTCCTGAACCCAAGCCTGAACAGATTACCCCTCAAAGCTTAACGGGTCCCCTGTAGTGTTTGGGTCAAGGCCCCCGAACTCCAAAGCCCCAGGCACTGCAACCCCGGCCTGAGCCCTGAAGCCCTCCGAAACGTCGAACTCCGAGGGTGAAACCCCTCGCAAGCCAGCTGCAAAAAAGGGTGAGCCCCTTGCAATGCGGGCATCGTCCCCGCTGGGCGAGACGCAACGAATCTTAAAACCCAGATCCCGAAACTATCCTCAACCCTGCACCCTGAAGCCTAAACCCTAGACAGACCCTAGACTTGCAACCTTCTAGTCACCCCTTGTAGTACCATAACCGTTCTAGTATCCCTCACGGAATCCCTTATAGTTCCGCCTCAGCCCTTACGGTTCCTGTAGTGCTTGAGTACGCCAAGCAACGCACTCATGGACTTGTCGTATCCCTTATAGTTGCCCTTGTCTTATTCTGGTTAGTACACCACCAGCATCCATGTCCATCCTGATCCGAAAGGTTGGCACGCCTCCAGTTTTGAACCATATGTCGTACATACCCAATTACAGAAACATAGCCACAGGCATGCATGTATAGCCTTTAATCCTGCATATATTTTTACAAACACCTGCACGCATGGAAACACACGCACACACACACAGGGGCAGTTCGTTAACCAACAACCGTCAGACCTATCCCAGAAATACGTCAAAATTAATAGTTCTAAACAAGTCATGCTGGCCGGGAAGTCTGTTCAAGGGTGTTGAACCCTTGAACCTTCCGCGACATGTTCCGGATAGAAGCAGCTTTGCCCAGTGGTCTCTGTGAGACCTTAACGATCTCCGCAGCCTCCAAAGTAAGAGACCTGCAGATGTTGGCACAACAAACTTTCAAGCTTGGCTCTGTGAAACTTACCACGACAGAAGGACACGCGCTCCCTGACCCAACGGAAGGTTTGCACTCAGCAGGACTTCGAGATGGCAGCCACATTACTGCGATAGTGATTCAAAGGCAAGTCGCAGCGTCAAGAGCTGCCTTTGCATTCTGGTGTTGCGGAGGTGACAAGGTCATCACATGGGGCGATCCAGAATGTGATGGTGACAGCTCTGAGGTGCAAGATCAGCTGAGGGATGTCCAGCAAATTCAGGCGGCATTTGGATTCGCTGCAATCCTGGCAGATGGCTCAGTCATCACATGGGGCCATCCAAAAGATGGGTGACAGCTCTGAGGTCCAAGATCAGCTGAAGGATGTCCGACAGATTGAGGCTACATACGAAACATTTGCTGCAGTTTTGGCAGATGGATCAGTCATTACGTGCGGCGATCCAGAATCTGGCGGTGACAGCGCTGAGGTGCAAGGTCATCCTTTTGATTTGTAGACCGGCTACACTATGTCAACACATTGGTAGCAGCATAAAGAAGTAAGCCTCAAGAAGCCAAAATGCATGTAAGCGGCCACTGGAGGTGAATGACTCACGGATATTCCAAGCCATGCGGTCGCACAGTGCTTGCCAGCTTGGCAGAGATGGGCCCAAAGTACATCGTGTATTTAGTGCACGCAACATGGTCCGACAAAAAGCGCGGCCCGTGACAGGAGGCTGTTTTATGGCCAGACTGAACTTAGCGGAGATCTATAGCCCTCAGACCGTGGCCATCTTAACGGAGCTCTACACCCCAAACCCCAAGCCCTGAGCCCTTGACAGGAGCCCTAAACTGCCCTAAACCTAAACCTTGAGGCCCTTGAAAGGAGCCCAAAACCCTAAACCCTTAACCTAAGTAACCTAAACTGTTTAGGCCCTAAACCTACGACAAAAAACCTTACAGTAAGACCTAAGCTCCCCGAGCAGGGCCTCTGCTCCCTCGGCGTTCGCCTGCAGCACGCCAAGTCGCCGGCGCTTCGGCGCCTCAGGGGCTTGGCCTCTTGGATGAGCATTCTCAGAGGGAGTATCATTACTATCATGGTTTGAGCATCGGAGGTAGTATCATTACTATTATGATTAGTATTATAAGCATCAGAGGTTTTTATCATTAGTATGAAAATTATGACCATCAGAGGTATTATCAGTACTAGTAGTACTCATCATCAGAGGTATTATTTCACAGTGTTTCTCGCCGTACGACTATTACTATCAGTGTTGGGGGGTTCAAGGAACCTTCAAAAGAAATTTCTAGAAACCCCACAATATGGTATAAACCCTCAAAACCTACTTCGGTTCCTGTTTGAAGCCTGAAAGCTCCTCCTCTCCTTTGCGTTCAGTTTTTATGAGAAGCGATAGTAAGTTTTAGGGGGTTGAAGGATCTCCTCTTTTATAAAAGGTTTGAGGCTTGCTCTTTCCATCGTTTTTATAAAGGGTTCAGAGGGTGGCTGGTTGTCACCGCCATCCGGTTTGGGGGGGGTGTATGTATTTCAATCAGTTCCCAGAAGCTTTCGAGGGATCTTCGAGGGTTTAGAAGGATTGGGCTTTGCCTTTTGGGGGGATGTAAGGATTAGGTTCAAGGTGTAAAGCTGAATGGATTTACGTGTACGTGTTAGCAGGTTCATGTAGGTGCAGGGTTCAGTAAGAACTAGTGATCGTTCAGATTCAATGCTGCTTGCGGATTTTAGTGCTTAGTTGTTTGTTCATCTTCAGAGAGCTTTCGTAGTCATGTGTGTCTTTATTCAATCAAAACTTGGTTCCTTCCTTCCGTTCCTCCTTCCCGTCCCGTCGCGTCCCATCCCTTCCTTCTTCCTCCCTCCAGTCGGTCGCCCGGTCGGTCAACTTCATTTCATGTCGTTTCCTCCTTCTGTTTCTGCGCTTTCATGGCCATTGCTATCCATTCCGGTGATTCACTGGTTCATGCACCTTGATGCACTCATTCGTTCCTGCGCGACGTTTGTCTCTTCGCTTGATCGTTCGTTGGTTCATTGCTTCACCACCTAACATCCAACTTCCAGTGTCCTTCTGCTGATGCAGTCGCTTTCCTAATCTTCAGTACTAGTTTTGATGTTCAAACTCTTTTGGGGATTTGTGGATTTTGGGTTCTGCGTTTGACTCAGGGTTTGGAATTACCAACACGGATTTGAGGTATCGGGCGGGGGGGTTGCAGTTCAAAATGGGCTGGACAGCTATGCGAGCTTGAGCAGCTTTTTTTTCAGACTGCCCCATGCTTCGTGATGTATACACGATTATACACGCTCATTTTTGCTTTGGTTTTTGCTTGTTCGGCTGCAAGTGTAGCGGTGTCGGTGAAGTGCCAGGGACGACGGAGTTGGAGGCCCTTAGGCTCAGGCTCTTCAGGGGGGCCCGAAACCAGTCGCTGCGTCTTGTGCAGAGCACGGGCTGAACCGGAGCAGAGCCTGGGTTCAAAGGAAAGGGAGGCCCGAAACTCTGAGAAAACGTGCACTTTACGGATCTTGGGGCCCAGCCTCCAAGCCCAAGGAGGAGGCTCGAGGCGACGGGGTGCTGGTGACCGATGTGCCTTGGTTCCGTAAGAGGTGCCGTTGATTCGATGTTCACGTCTGCAGTTCGGGGTTGTGGCATGTAGTTGTGCCTTTAAGTTGGGAGCCTGTCTGCAAACTCCAGCATGTCACAGGGGCTGTGTATAGATGTTGACATGTTATCATAGAGTCATAGGGTAGCGAGACAAGCATGATTCTGTTCGTTACTTCGGAGAAAGTCTTTGGCTTGGAAGGAAGCCGAGACAGGTTGCCGGAGGGCAGTTGCTTCTGGGCTTGGGTTCCGAGTTTAGGAAGGCCGCGATGGCAAGGATCCGTCTGAAGAGACTCTGAAGCGAGCGCGGCTCCTCCTCCCAAGACCTCGCCATGTTTGGGACACGTCAGGTTGCGCCGCAGTCTCCCGCCGCGGACGCAGGTATCCAGGCAGCGGGGCCGTGTGCCGGCTTTTCGGGCGTCGGCTTTCTGCAGTGGGATCGCTTCGGCAGCACTTCCTTCGCAGCTGTGCAGTCGTAGGATCGTTGACCGGCAGGAAGTTGTGTGTGTCGGATTGCGCCGGCTGTCTTTTGAGTTCATTTCATCCGTAACGTGCTGACACCAGTACAGATCTTGATGCCCTTCAGAAACTACGTCAAGGCAGCGCCAATCCGTAAGGCCTCAACCTGCAATCGAAGCTGCGTGGGCAGTCCTCCCAATCAGCATAGGGCCTGCAGAGTCAAGTAGGAGACCAAAACTACTTTGCCTGAGGTTGGGGATGTGCTCCTGGCTGTAGACGGCGTGCCTGTGGCGGAGGCCTGGGGTCGGCGACGAGCTCGTAAGTTTCGTCGATTTTTGATTTGGGAGTTGAGAATGTGATGCTGAGGCTGGGGTTGATTGGGTCTCAGGGTGCAGGAGTTTAGGATTTGGGGCCCTGATTTCAAGCGCCCATCTCTCGATCTTCTCTGCAGAGCCGCAGTATAAGCGCCAGGATGGCACCGTTCCCCTCCGTGACATGGAGCGGATCGGGCAGCTCGGCACTCCGCGAGTAAGGGTTCAGAGCTCTTGGGGCTTAAAAAGCGATCGGGGCTCCTCGGCCTAGGATGGATTGATGTACGGGCCTTTATAAATACCCTATACCATTTTGGGCGGTTCCTTATTCTAACTATAGAATAATCGGTCCCCAAAACCTATTCTAATTATTAAGGCCCCTACATTAGGGTCTTTGGTTTCTGTTTCTGCTTTCGTTGTGTCCCACTAGTCTTGAGCGCCGTGCAGAGAGCTCGTCACAGTTCCGCCCACCCTCCCGTCATCACGACGGTCACTGGGATTCCAAAACTGCTTCCTCGAGAAAGAGCTCCGCCTCAGGTTCGAGTTTCTGATCACTCGGAAAGTGGTCGGCGAGACCATGAGCTGCTCGACGTACCGTGTCCGGTTCACGGCCTCTGTTTGGGACGGACGACTTCCGACTTAGAGGTCAGAGCTAATGGGTTTTCGTTTCGCAGTCCCCTGGAACTGGGGTTCCATACGTCCAGACCACCGGTCACAGGACAAGTGAAACCCAAAACTCCCAGATCAGAAAGGCCGAAAAGCCCGAAAAACACCAAAGCATTGCAGGGGATTGCCATCAGTTGGCTGAGCAGCTGACGCATCATCATGGACACTCTTGTTTTTTGAAGGGAGCCCCCTAACCATATGGGAGTTACCATATATTGGGGTCCTTACAATAGGATTCCAACTAGTTAGGGTACTATATGAGGGTCCCCCCATGTTCGGAAACTCATAAGCCTTATAGAGCCCTCTAAAGGCACCCTTACAGTACCCTTATCGTAGCCCTTTAGATGAACCCTATTATACGGTCCCCCTATTTTCGGAAACCCCCCCCTTTCTCGGACCCTATTTCGAACACCAGCCTCGGCTGAGCCCTAGGACTGCAGCTCCTCCGCGCTGCCTGCGGCGACAAGGAGTTCCGAGTTCCGTCGCGGGGGGGAGCAGAAGTGTTCCTATGAGGGTTCCAGAAAGTTCTATCAGCGCCCTCATTTTATAGAACTTCCATACACCTTTCGAGTTTGTCGGTTTCGAAATGAGGGTTTGGGTTCACGGGGGTTTCTCCAGGCGAAGCGGAAAGCCGGTTGCAAAAGGGGGGGTTTTCCGTGGCCCATTTTTGAAGGTCTTGTCTATAAGAACTCCCTGCCAATAGGGGGTTCCAAGAGGTTCCAAGAGGGACGTGACAATGGCTAACAATGGACTTGCATTCAATCAGCTACACGGCGGTTGCTTGAGATGGTGTTGGGCTTCAATGGTCGGTTTAGTCCAAGGCCCCCGGTGGACGTCAATCATGCTGATTTGGACCAAACGCCAACTTTCAGGGCTTTGGGGGTCCGACTACGCCACTTCACTTGTAGTTTTCGCCAAGTTTCCAACCTGCTTCCACCCCCTTAGCACTGCAGCTCCAAAATTCCGAAGATGCTGCCAGAACTCGGCTGAAGAACGTGTTCAAAGCTCGGAACCTGAAGCACCGCAGTTGAAAGCACCTGCTTCGCGGAAGCCACAGTGGAGCCAGCAGCAAAGGAGGCAGAGGTCCAGGGGTTCCGGTGGATTGCAGATGAGCCCCCTAGGAAGCTTGGTTGTGGGTCCAAAGAGACCCTTCTGCCTTGTGCAAAACCCCCCGGCGGGCCTGGTCTCTGTCCCAAGCCGCCGAGCATCAAGCTGCGAAATCCAGAGGCCCGAAGCCAAGGTCCAAGGCCCAAAAAAACCAAGCTGAGCAGGAGGACCGCAAGGCAGTCGCCGTCGCGGCCGTCGCGGCCAGGGTCGAGTTGGAGCTGCAGGCCGATTATGTCGAGCTGCTCGTTCGCAATGTTTGGGGGCTGTGGCACAGCTTTTGGATTCCGAGAGAGAGCTCCTGGTTGAAGCAAGGGCTTCTGGCTCTTGAGTCGAAGGGCTCATGTGTTGAATGGTAGGTGTTCAGGCGCACAATAGCTGGCATCTTCCTGGAACGCTGCATGTTGAGCCTTGACAGCCTTAACTTGCCCCAATCCGTCAAGCCTCGAATTCCGGATCGTGCGATAATCATTACCCATGAGCCGCAGTGCCAGGAAGCTCGTTCCCAGAAGAGATGGTGGGCGCCCGAGATTTTCGTCCGTGTCAGAGCGGGCCTAGGCCTGTTCCAGGGCAGTTGGACAGCAAAGCTCCACGCACCAAACCGCTCCGTCAGTTTGATGCTCGAGCTCAGGTAGTGGGATGCACAGTTTGGGGGTTTGGAGCTTTCAGCGCCAAGCACCGGGGATGTGCGGGTCGATGTTGACAAGTCTCTGAGTCTGAGAACTGTGGCCTAAAGTTTTTGGATGGGTTCACGAAGGACATGGGCCTTCAGGCTCTTGGTGTTTGCAGCTTCGCATTCGCCATGGCCAAAGAGGAGCCGGATGAGCTGCCCGAGCCTGTCCGAGCCGCCAAGAGCCCCGACCTCTCACTGCCGTCCTTCCAGTCGCGACTGGCGGAGTGGGGCGAACAGTGTTTGAGATTTCAAGCCTCGCGCGAGACATGGGTGCCAACGAAACCCTGCTGCCCGGCAAACCCGTTTCTGGACCTAGAAGCTTGCCGCTGGCAAGGCTTGAAGAACGGCTCGGCGAAAGCATGCGTGCAACTCCTAAGCATAGAGGAGCTGTGTGAATTACACCGTTTCTTCCTCGAGAATCCGCACCACGAGCTTTCTCAAGAGCAGCCCGAGGCCTCCAATCCGCGGCCTAATCTGATCTGCATGCAGATGCGGCCCTGGGGGGGCATGCAGGAGCTGTCGACGGCCGATCCTGTCTCCGGACCTGCGAGCTCCGTCACGGAACCCTCGGAGGTAGAGCCGAGCTCTGCTCAGCAGAAAGCCCCAGCATCCGGCTCTCAGGTGAGGGGCGTTTACGTAAATTTTGACGCCGGGAACCGGAGGTGGAAGGTTTCCCTGTGGGACTCCTCTGCCAAAAAATTGAGATACGGAGGCCTTTTCAAGTCAAAGGAGGAGGCCCAGGCCAGGGCCCGGGAGCTGGCGGAAAAACTGGCTTCTGGCTCCACCGTGACAGAGGCGGTCGCCACGCCCCTCAACAGTGAGTCTGCGGTGAATAGCGTATACTTTCACACTGGGCACCAGAGGTGGGCTTTTAGATTGTGGGATTTCTGCGCCAAAGAAATGAGATACGGAGGCAGTTTCGAGTCGAAGGAGGAGGCCGAGGCCAAGGCCCGGGAGCTGGCGGAAAAACTGGCTTCTGGCTCCGCTGTGACGGCCGCAGTGAAAGGCGTTCAGTATTGCAAAAAGCGTCAGTGCTGGCGAGTTGCTGTTTATGACCCCTCCACCAGGAAAGTGAGATACGGAGGCAGTTTCGAGTCGAAGAAGGCGGCCGATGCCAAGGCCCCGGTGCTGGCAAAGAAGCTAAAGCCAAAACCCAAACCTGCGAAAGCTTCCGATTCCGCTGTGGGCAAAACCAAGCGGAAGCCTGGCTCCGATGTCAAGGGCGTGTATTGGAGCTCCGCCAGAACGCGGTGGCAAGTGCGCGTGTATGACCCCTCCCGGCGGAATGCAGTATACGCGGGCTCTTTCAGGTTGCAGAAGGAGGCCGAGGCAAGGGCGCGGAAGCCGGGCAAAAATTTGGGGTTGCAGGGCAAGCGAAAGCGAAAAGTGGCCAAGAGCCGCTAGGGCCGCAGCCCGGGCACAGGAGAAGTCAGCCTTGTACCTGTGGCTGCTCGACGTTCCCGATGTTTGGAGGCGAACGCAGCAGATCTGGCCAAAGACGGTGGGTTTAATCAGGGTTTAGGAAGTACTGCTGAGGACTTAATGAATCGTAACGTGTTACAGAGTAGAGTACGGTTTTTCTCTCCACAGTGCGAATACAGTTGACACTCGGAGCAAATCACACACCGAAGCACTGTTCAAGTGATATAAGGCTTGATATTCTGTATACATAGGATTTAGCAAGGCAAAGTTTTAGTTAATGAAATCAGTTCTGACTCCAGCACCAACACCAGTACTTCACCATCAGCAGAGCACCATAGCACCGTCAGCACAATCGGCGCAATCAGAGCCATCCGTAGCATCAGCCAGCACCATCAGCACTGGCAGCAGCAGCGGCATCATCATCATCATCATCATCATAGATATCGTCATGATCAACGTCCTCATGCCCGTCATGCTGGTTATCATCCGTGTAGACCCGAGCTTGTCATCCCCCAGCAAGCACGCTAACGGTCTTCGCAAAAAAGCCGGTGTTGCGACAGCTATATGGCCTCGGAGGGCAGTGGTTCGGAAATTGAGGATGCAGAATGTCGGAGTGTTTGGATTGGGCGCAGATGCAGCAGCTTTGCAGCGGAGTAAGCTTCACTGGCAAATGAAACCCATCGTGATGCTCATCTCCATCCTCATTCTCATCATCATATCATCATCGTCAGCATCATTGATCACCACCACCACCATCATCACGGCCATCGTCGTCGTTGTCTGCATGCTCGTCCTCCTCCTCCTCATCGTCGTCGTAGTCTGCATGCTGCTGCTCCTCCTCGTCCTCCGCTGCATCATGTTCATCCCGTCATCTGTGTTGTCGCCCTCACCAACGGCAGCATCAATGCCGACATCGTTAGCATCACCGTCATCTCATCAGAATCATCCTCCTCATCCGTGTTGTCGTCTTCACCAGCAGCAGTACCAATTCTATCAATGTCACCGTCATCACCAGCATTACCGTCATCACCATCATCGTCATCGTCAGCGTTTTAGGTGTCGTGGTCACTGCAAGCACCACATCACCGTCAACAGCGTTTTCACTACCGGAGCATCACCAGCATTAGCACCACTACCAGCTACCAGCACTACGACGAATCTACGACCTGGATCTGACGCTGACCGGTCTCAGCACACCGGTGGATCAGCCTCACGAGGGCATCAGCGCCATCTTTAGGAAGGACAGCAGTCGTAATTCATGGTATGCCCGCTAAGGTTCGGCATCGCCTTCGCTATTGTCAATTCTATCATCTTCATTTTCACCACCATCGTCGAAACCGAAACCGACAACTCCACCACCATCTTCATTTCCCACCACCGCCGCCGCCAAAATGCATTATCAATCACGAAAGTCCCTTGTTTACGTGACGAACAGGGTTATTCCTGATGGTATTCGCGCCAGATGGTCGGGGAGTAGTTTCAGGACCTCCATGGATCGAAGCCTCGTGTCCCAAAGCCGAACCACCTTCCACTCAAGCTCCAAACTTCAGGTGGCGATGCGCAGCCCTCGTACCTCATCGTGGGAGGCGCGCATGGCTCACGATAGTACCTGCTGCCCTTTTTAGCCCGATGTGGGGAAGCTAAACCTAGCGCTTCACGAAGTTGAGGGCCCTTCCGAAGAATAGAATTGCCAACGCATTCATGACAGGACAGTGCCAGGTTCAGAATCATGCATTGAAGTTGCTACTAGTACGTGACTGCATCATTGCCGCGTCCCTGCTGGACTACAATTGGAAGCGCAGCCATTCTGACAAGTCTGGCTGCGCGACATAGCGCGTTTACAGCTTTCTTGAGCAACGACGTGAGCCTTCGAAGCGGGTACACCCCAAACTAGACTTTGCGCCCGAAGCCTTTGGCGAGAATCTTATACCCTACTACTTGGAGGTTCGGGGGACTTAGTAAGTAGGTAGTAAGTAGGCTTATAAGTACCCGAAAAGGGACCCTAATTGGGGTTATGGTACTTATCCGTCCCGAAAATAACCAGTTACTATGTCCCCCGACCCTCCAAGTACCCGAACTTTTCACCGATCCCGCTAGCAGAGGCTTGGTCTTTGTTCGGCTCACGCTCCCGTGGATGCTCTCTCGCTTCCGAGAGGTGCACCGGGCCTCGCGAACTATTGTCGAAATGACGAAGAGCGCTGACTACCACCTTGACGATGACGACTGAAACTATTTGTCAGACAAAAAACTAGCGATATAATACCCCTGCCCCTGGCCATCCTACTCCCACTCCTACTCTTATTCCTGCTCCTCCTGCTGCTCCTCCTGCTGCTCCTCGTACTCCTCCTGCTCCTCCTCCTCCTCCTCCTCGTCCTCCGACTCCTCCCACTCCTCCCACTCCTGCTCCTACCCCTGCTCCTACTCCTGCTCCTCCTCCACGTCCTGATGCTCCTCTTCCTCCCCCTCCTACTCCTCTGCCCTCTCCTCCTCGTACTCCTCCTGCTCCTCCTCCTCCTCGTCCTCCTCGTCCTCCTCCGCCTCCTCCTCCGACTCCTCCCACTCCTGCTCCTACCCCTGCTCCTATTCCTGCTCCGTCTCCGCTCCCACTGCTCCGACAACTCCTCCTACTCCTACTACTACTTCTCCTACTCCTCCTACAACTCCTTCTCCATTTCTCCTCCCGCTCCTACTCCTGCTTATGCTACTGCTACTGCTCACTGCTACGGCTCACTGCTACTGCTCACTGCTACTGCTCACTGCTCACTGCTACTGCTCCTGCTCCTGCTCCCGCTGGGCTCCGGCTCCTGCGCCTGCCAGTGCTTCTGCTAGTGCCACTGCTACTGCTACTGCGACTGCCACGACCACGCCCACGGCCACGGCCATGGCCACGGCCACTGCCTCTGCCACTGCCACGGTCACTGCCACTGCCACTTCCACCGCTACTCCTACTACTACTCCTCCTGCTGCTGTTACTGCGACTGCTACTGCGACTGCAGCGACCACGACCGCGACGACCAGCCCGCAATTGTACATAAACCCCACAAATTCAATTCAGCGTCCCTCGTTCGCACCTACATTGCTGCTTGTTTCAGGCCCAACACCCTCTTCCGTTCTGCCGGCAATGCCCTTCCTTGGAAGCCCGTGATACAGCCAATGGTAGCATCAGGGAAGGTTGTTTTGCAGGAATTGCATCCCGTATCCCGAAGCTGTAAAGTCTTACTTTCGCTTGTCTTGTCTTCAGACCTTGCCCTGGCATTGTCCGAGTGCCACTTAAAGTAGTACCCCCGAAAGTACCCTTTCATCGTAGCCTCTTCGAGTAAATCGCATAGTAACTAACCCTTTATCGTGCCCTTTATGCTCACCCCCTCATAGCAGGCCCTCCTTATAATCCCGAAGCACCAGAACCTAACCCCCTAAAGAACCCTGTTCAGTAAAACCCACCCAAAACAGGTCAGCCAAAAGGTAAGCTTAAGCCCTATAGATCCCTTACACATCCCGTATAGGAACCCTAAGTTATGCTAACTCAAAACTCAACCCCTGCAAAAAGTTCGAAACAAAGCGGAGGTGCGGAAAGCGCCTCCCGAGCTCCAGGCGAAGCTCTGGGAGCCTCGGCGGCCTGGGATGCGGGGGGAGGGGGGGGGGGGGGTTAGGGTTCAGGGTAGATGGTGTAGGGTTCCATTATGGGATTCCCTTTGTAAGGCGGGGAGGGGTTGGCTTCAAAGGGTGCTATAGGGTTTCAGGGTGTAGAATTTCCGCACTCCACAAGCCTGTTTAAAAAAAGGGTTCAGGATGTAGGGTTCTGCGATGTATTCGTGACAGCAGGGACTCCGAGATTGCTGCAAGGGAATGGTGACGTGGCAACCAGCTGAGACCTTTTGCAGCTGGGCTCTGAGTGTCAGCCAGCAAGTCCGCTTGAGCTCTGAAGCTCAGCGCTGCTGGATTCCAAACTCCGGCGACCTAAACCCGACACACCAGGCCTCATGCCATCAGCGTTGTGACTTTTCAAAAAATCTGTAGGGACCCGGATTTTGCACCCTGAATAGTAGAAGGATGCCCTGTTTTTTAAGGGCCCTGAGAAGGGACCCGCTTGTGGTCTGAACCCCCGAAATCTAGAAAACCTTGTAGGGAGCCCTCAAACCCTTAAACCTTAAAGGGTGCTGTAGTTTTAGCATCTTGGGCTTTCTCAAGGGTACTCTTAAATAACTTCCGCATCTCCGCCGCGTCGAACTATATTAGCTTACATGACACTTTGTGAGATGAAAAATGCGCTATATATGTGCAGTTGACAACCGCAGACCAAAACAGCACGAGTTTCTGGAGGTCGAGACCTGACTTGTGTTGATACAAGTTCATGGAGGACGAGATCGGTGCGATCACGGAAAATGTATTGGCCACAACAATCGCTCCCCTGGCATCCCTCAATTGTCAATGACCGCCCTGAGCGTTCGTAGCCTGAGCATGGGCGCTCGCGGTTTCTGCATGGAAGATATCGGAATGGCGGGGAGTGCTGAAGATTTTTGTTGACTTGGTGACCGGCCGCAATCTTGGGACATCACGAGATGCGAGGTGATTCGCCGCAAGTGTCCCAAGCCAGGCTCGTGCGGTGACTCGTGACATGGGCTTGCGTACCCGTCCGCAGCCTAGCAAGAGGCCTGTGCCAGGATCAATGCTCTGGATCCGGATGATGGTGAAGTTACTTTACTACGAGATCATTGATTCGAACAGTCATTTGCATGTTTTTGTTGGTACTGTCTTGTGAACATCACGAGATGAGCGATGCGTGTTGTGGTGATTGCGAGCAGACTCTCCATTGAACAATCACATGGGGTTCAGAGATTCGGGGCTTAAGGCATCGGTTTCTTAGAGTGTTGCCTGTCGGGCTCTGCCAAGAAGTCTTTACTGATTGAGGACCCGGATCCCCGAATTTGTCCTACGCTTTCGCAGCCCAGGAGCACAAGACCTCTCCAGAGCAGGCGCGACTGCCACCACTACTGCCACTGCTTGCTACGATTTCCATGGTTGTCACAAGATCGTCGGCAGCACCGCTACCGCCTCCAAAACGGGTCGTACCCGCAAGTGCCTTAATACATCTGGGATCTTCGCTTATCAGCTAGTCGTGGTCGTTGTCGTTATAAACGGCAAGCCGTTATGGTGCTGATTTCGATGAGTTCCTTGATTCCCGACATTGTCACGTACTTTAGATCTTCTACTGCCAGTGTGCCAGGGAGTGGGGCTTTTGAGTTTCTTTCAGTCCAAGCTCTGAAATTGTCGTTGTGGAGGTGGTTCGGTGCCCAAAGGGATAAGTGCATGAGTACCTGGCATTTGAGCTTTAGGGTCAGGGCTGCGATTTTGCATGCGAGTTGGACCACGTCGCTCGGAGTTTTGGAAGGCACCACAGGCCCTTGAACCTAAACCCTAAACGGAAAACCCTATACGCTGTTCATCCAAGATTCCCTGCAATGCGGGCTTCGTCCTTGCTAGGTAGGAGGGAAAAAAGCCCCGTCTGAATACCAGATTAGCTGTCTCTGAAGGGCCATCTAAGATGCCCTGTGGACCGGAAAGGCCATCATTAGCATGTTGCCGATTTGTCCCCTAACTGACCTCGCCTGTGGACATTGTTTCCTGCCATGCGAGAGGGGAAAAAACCCAAACCCCTAAACCCTAAACCCCCCAGGGCGCCTTGAAATTCAGGGTCTCACTTTGGTGACACGTTGCATTGCCATGGTCTCTCGCCTTTCCTGCCCGACGTTGCTGCTCTCGTCTTCTGGACCTTCACTTCCGACTTTTGACGGAGGCTGTACTCCGGACCACTTGGCGAGCCCTTACATACTGAGGCTGTTTCCTTGTACACTGGACCTTTGCTGCTTACATGCAATCGAAGGAGGCTGTACTCCGGAGAACTATAGACAGATCATGTCACAATGCTGGGATGGATTTATATGCCTTTGAATCCTTCGCTGCATACTGTATGTCGTGAAGGAGGCTGTACTCCGGGCCTGGGGACAGGTCACGTACACAGTGGGCTTCGATTACATCCCCATTGATCACCGAAAGTTCGCAATGTCAAGGAGGCTGTACTCCACTGGACGCCTACTTTGCAACATCCTTTGGTGAACCATTATAGGCATCACTCTTGACTGGTCTTGAATGGTGATGCCCCATGTCACGATTTTTTGAATCTGGTGATGCGGTTTACCTTTGAGAGCTTATGGGGGGAAGGGCTCCACTGACTGCCTACGACATTGCTTATGGGACCGATTTGTTCCACGACTTTGCCACCCTGGCGAACACAGTTACTATGTTGCCCTGATACTCTGTCTGGCGCGGGCAAACTGCAGCCTCGGAGTCAACATGTGCAACACCACGCGGAAGGACTTTTGCTGAGCCCATGGGCCAACACTTTGTGTGAGGACAAGTGATGTGTACTGCTGGCAGTGTTGAACAATGCTGGCAGCGAGTGAGTTTCAGAACTGCTATGTGTGCCCTTGCATTTTTGTTGAAAGAAATCCTTATGGGATGAACTCTCCTTTTACATTCCTGTGCTTGAAACAGCAATGGAGTTGAACGATTGTAATTAATCCGAGCTTGATGCCATCCGGATTTTGTTGCAAGACTATCTCTCAGTGTCAGACCTCGCGAGCGGACTTTGATCTCCAGCCATGCGAGAGGGAAAAAAAAACCTAAACCCCTAAACCCTAAACCCCGAAACCCGAAACCCATAAACTCTAAACCCTAAACCCATGAACCCATAAACCCTAACCCCCCAACCCCTAAACCCCTAAACCCCCGAGCCAGGGACTTGAAAGTCTGAAGCACAAGATCCCGATCTGCAAGCGGCAGGAGATCGTCGTCTTGGCCAAAGTGCTGGCGGCAGAGGTGAACTATGGCTACGAGGAGACCCGTCGGATCGAAGTTTCTGGAGCTTTTCTTGGGAGGATGAAGTTCGATTTCTAAGCCGATGTAGTATAATGTGTTTTCATATAATATTCTGTAATATAAGATAATTCGGTAATGTAACAAAAGGTGCCAGACCGTCATACTTTCCTTTGTTAAGCATGCTCGACAATCAACGTGCGTGAGCTTCATCAGGCGTCTTAGGTGCGTTGGTACCGAAACAAGTGCCGTACCTGAATCCTAAGTGTGAGGTGGCAAAGAAGCCCCTTTAAAATAGCCCTAGGAGGTAGCCCTTATAGTGTAAGCCTCATGGCAGGCCTTGATAAGAAATTTGCAAGGACTTTCAGTGCCTGGAGCTTCTCAGCTTCGGGAGCTGCTCGGAGCGAGAAAGCCTCTGTGTTCCTGTGCTTTGTTGCAGTTTGAAAACCTCCCGCAGAGTCAGGAGGCAACCAGTCTCTGCTCTGTGACCTTCGCAGGCCTTCATATCTTCAGCTGCTCCGGTTCAAAAGCAGCAGCGACAGAGCGGCGGTGTCATGGAGAAGCTGGTCGAAAGTTGGGGAAGCGATGCATCCCATGAGCTCCACGTGCTGTGGAGGACGGTAGGGACGCTGCATGCACTTGGAGGGCGCCGGGTCTCCGATTTGGTTTGGCCCGAAGAAATGGAGACACCGAACTTTACGGTGGAGCAGGCGACAGCGGTGGCCGCCGTGGCCCCAAGGCTGGCGCTTCCCGCAGATTGTCGGAAAGACCTGGCGCGCTTGCTTCTGGCCCTAGCCGCAGATCCGCGGAAGCAGGAGGACGTGCGGGACCTTCGGCTTGCTCTCAAGGTGCCCGAGGCAGTGACGGCTTTAAAACTTCGAGACCATCCAGGCTGCGGAATTCTGCAACTTGCTTTGGCCTTCAAGTTTGTGCAGGGCCGCTTCTACGACGTGGTCCTCGATCCATCCGCCATCAATGACGCCCTCCTCGGCATTCTTATCGGTCATGGAGTCTTGAAGGAGGCCTGCCACGTTCACTGGGAGCGGACCATGGTGAAGCGGAGACAGGGCAGCCTTTGTTGGGTTAGCATCCGCACGCAAAGTGCAGAGAGTGCGGATGCCTTGAAGCAAGCCTTCAAGTCTTGCAAGCTTGAAAAGAAGCTGGAGGAGGTAAAGATCGACGAGCTGCTCTTGAATGCCCCGGTGCAGGTAGCCTATCATGAGAGGGAGGGCAACAGCGATACCAACCTCCGTTTCGACAGGGCCTTCTTCTGTTTCTCCCTGGAGGAAATCAGAGTCACCGGTGGACGCATCCTGGATATCATCGACCCGAGCCGTGCCAGCATCGATCCCATGTGTGAAGACGAGACGTGTTTCCCGCCAGAGGCGCCTGAAAAGGACACGGCCGGGGTCTCCGGCTGGAACATCCCTCCGATCAGGGCATGGGGTTTGGGTAACGGGGGTCACGGCGGCCGGGGCGAGACATCGGAGCCCCCCGCTTCCTCGGCAGGAGCACCCCGCTGGATTCCAACGGTGCTGGCGCCGGCTCCAGAGGCTGGGCTTCGGCTTGCCAGTGAGGTCAGCGGGATCCCGTGGATGGGGCCTCGCACGGTGTGTAACCCACTGTACCAGCGCTTGGGCGAGCTGCTGACGGCCATGCGGCCACTCTTTGCACGGTTAGCTCCGCAAGATGGCTCGAGTGAGGCCGCACTTCACCAACGGCTGGATGCAACGTCCAAAGTACTGATCAAGGCCCAGGTTTATGAGGTGCACAGCTGCGAGGAGATTCTCGGCGAGCCCCTTGACTGTTTGCAGGAATACTTTAATAGGTTTCAGCCCCTTGCAATCGGCTTTTCGGTTACACTCCTGGCTAAAGAATTTAAAATTCAAACAACAACTGGGAAGCCTAACACATCCCCTATACATGGGAGAGTTGCGCAGGCAGAGAGGGTGGGGTCGGGTCTGTGACAGGACCTTTATGAAGGAGAGAGAGGGTGAGGTGGGATGCAGAGCATCCTCTGCCAGGCTCCACCGAGAAGGAATCAAGCGCGATCAGATTCAGATGGTTGGCCTTTACTACCCCATCGTCGATGAGGGACTGGCTGGCGGCGACCTAGAGATCACCGTTGTATTGACTGGTGGCTGCGGCTCACAGTACCCAAAATCGAAGACGATCGCTGTGCAAGCTGGTACGGCCATAGTTTTTGACAACCACACTGTGTACCATCGCATGACGGCTCTTCGTGCGGCCAGCGCTTCTTCGGGTCAGAGGGGCCGAAGGCTGGTTGTTGCCTTCTTCGTGCTACAAGGAGGGGAGGTGCCAGGCACGGACTGCATTTCCGTGAACTATGCAGACAAGGCGCGAGTGCTGGTTCGCCGAACCCTCCGCAAGCTGCCGAAGCACGTACAGCCGCTAGGTTTCCAACAGTTTCCTGTTCCGATCCCTTTCTCATGTGGATAGTTCTCTATTTTGTAGGGGTGCCGAGTTATTTCGGGGCGTAAGCAGGGGCGCTAAGTTGGAGAACTGCCCATGTCGTCTTAGGGCGCTCGCACTGATCGGCCTTGCGGCCCCCCAGGTTCAGCATCGAGCAGTTTCTCACCGGTGGGACGTCCTATGCGCGGCAGCGCTTTGAGTCTTCCCGCCGCGCGCGGGCTCGTGACCTAACCCAGCAATGTCTTATCGTGAGTGCCGTCGATTGAGGGGTCTGCAACTTAATGCCTGGATTATCCAGCCTTCGTGAGATTCAACTCTTCACCTTTTCAAAGCGGCACTCACTGCTTTCGCGGCTCGTCGACTTGGGGCGCTTCTAAACGATTGGCTATCACTTTGTTACCAGTGTCCCGCATGGGCATGTTTCTTCGCTTGCAATGGTGCCTCGTGGCTGATGGTAAAAACGGACTGAAGAGTTGACAGCAAGACCTTCTTGAAAACTTGGAACCTGACTTAATCAGTCCTTGAGAGAAGCTCCCATGTGGACGAAGCTGTCTGCCACGTGTACAGCTGGCAGCCTGCAGGTTTGGGACAAAAGCGGGCAAGACATGGACTTGGCTTTTGTTCAACAGGTAATGCCATGACTTGAGGGTGCAGGGATGGGTCCCTTCAGGATTTCCCTTGTCAATCTTTCTCAGTTGCTCGATTTAATTGTTGTTTGTCTTTGGACGTCCTGTTCATGTGTGGGGTTATCGGCATAGTACCTTCGGCTGAAGAACGTGGCTAGCAATTGTTTCTGGTCATTGCAAAATACTTGCTAGCTGCCTTTCTGTCTTCTGTTGTTGATCTCGTTGTTGCTACACCTTCAACGCCTGTCTTGTTGCTGCTTGCTTCCATCCTCGCATTGACAGTCCTTTTGTCGTCGATTCTTGTTGAGGTGTTTCAGTGCAACAGTTGCACCCCTTTATGCCTTCGCTGCTGTCACATCTTCAGATCTTCCAGAACTATCGAGCTATTTGGGTCACCCAAAACGGCCCACGGTGTCAGCCAAGATCGTCAGAATGCCGGAGACAGTCTGGACTTTCAATCATGCTGAGATGATTTTAGATGTGCGTCCCAAGCCAGGCCGGCGGTCGAGAGTCGCTGTGATCTGTCCTGGCGACTCGAAGCCCTAAGCCCTTCATCCCCAGAGTCCCAATACCGGAAGTCCCCGACGGAGTAATCTGATGAGGGTTTGCAACACCCGCTATGATTCCCCTGCTGGCAGAGAATACTCCTGCCAGGTTTGGTTTCGGTGGTTGTTCTATGCGGGAGATCACTACCGATGGGTTCAGAATCCAAACTGGTATGGGGTGCATGACGCCACCGGCATCCCACGGAACTGGATCGTTTTTGTACCGAGTTCAGAGCATCCTTCGTTCCTAAACTGGCAGCACAGTAGAAGCACCTAAAATCTGCAATGAGATTTCATTATGGCGCTATATAGTATTTCGGTATAGTATAGTATGTATATATATATATATATATATATATATACATATATACACATAGATATAATTCTTGTAACCATATTATATAACATATAGCAATAGCACATATATAATAGTATATATATCTATATATATATATATATATATATATCTATCTATCTATCTATATATATATATATATATATATCAAGCTAAAGGTTAGCTTCGGGCCCCCAGGTTGCTCAGATCCGGGAGCCGAGGCTTCCGGCCAGACAGCCGAGAGCCTCAGCTTGAACCTCTTTCGTTTTTTTTTTTCAGGTTTGAGGGTATAAGGGTTCTATAAAGGGATCTACAAGAGGGTTTTAGGGTTTAGGGTTTAGGGTGTACGGTTGAGGTTAAGGGTTTTCCAGGTTTAGGCTTTAGGGGTTTTCGGCCGTGATGCAAGGATCTGGCCAGTCCCCAAGCCGAGTAGCAAAAAGGCTTTTTCGGGTTTAGTTTGAGGTTCAGGCTTAGGGTTGAGGTATCAGCTGGCCCTGGGAGACGGGGGGTGTGGAGGCATAGAGGCAGGGGAGGGGACGGGATGATGATATGGGGGGAGGGGAGGGTCGATATGTAGTGTCGTACTTTCGGAGTCCCCAGTAGTGCCCCAGCCCCCGTCGAGTTCAGAGCCTCAGATGACAGTTGCTTAACCGGCACTATGGTGCCTTGTCTGTGTACTGGGGCATTGAGGGTTTCTGTTGCGTCTGCGGAGGTTCGTCTCTACTGGAGTCGAAGACACGATAGCCATGGCTCCAAGTACACCTGCAGTGGCAACAAAGAACCTAAATTTCTGCATCTCTTCTCCAACGTCCTCTGAAGCAACCGTGACGCATCAAGGGACCCTGCTTTCAGACTCCCTTGCTCTTTACATGCTTGCCCATAATGCCATGTGACATGTGTTGAAGCATGGCTTGTTTCTGACTGTTGCACCCCTTGTCGCAGTGTTGTCAAGATGTAGTGTTCGAGCACCGTCAAACCCCAAGTCCTGTGCCCAAGGAGCTTAAAGCAGCTCTACAAGTTCACAAGTTCAGTGCTGAGCCGGCGCCACAGCTCAGGACCAAAGGTCAAGGCAGCATTGGGGATTTCGGATGTTGGCCTTTCGTTTCCTCTTGCATTGTATCATTCAGTTCAAAACAAACCGGGGGTGGCCCAATACCAGCTTGGACTCTATCAGTACTCGGGATGCCTTCACCGACAAAGATTGCAAAAAGCCTTGCTGAAGGGAGGGACATCCCAGGCCAGTCTACATAAGTATTGCACCCACAAACCCAAACCTTCATCACTTCGCTCTCTGCCTTGAACTCCAAGCACCAACTTTCCTCAAGTTCCCCGATCCCTCACTCGAGGCTCCAAGACATCTGAGCCCGCGGCCTTCCTTCGCTTTGAGTTCAGCACCCCGGCAGCAGTATATGCCTTCGCTTAACCCACCGCCACTCCCTAAACTCAACAAACACGTCTGGCTACCTCGTGCCGTCCATTGCCTTTGCCAAAGCCAGAAGTACTGTAGATCAGTACATGGCCCTGTAGGTGAATGGCATAAAAGATTGTAGCAAGCCCAGAAATTTGTTTCGAGTTTATTGTGGCACAAACATGGGGGTTGTTCCAGATTCGGGTCTCCTCGGTGGAGCAGTTCTTTATCGTCAAGACCCTGCCGGAACAAATCCCCTCAAAGTCCCTTTTTAAAGGATGTCGTTATGTGAACCGAAAGCCATATTCCGACTCTGAAGGCCCCCACACAAAAGGAGCAGCCCCCACATGAACTCCTGAAGCCCGAAACACTGCGCCCAAACCTTAAAACCCTAAACCAACATTTTGTTAGCACACCTCGAACCACATGCCTCGCCTGGATTGTCCGAGTGTGAGCGCCGACACCCTCAAACCCTAAACCCCGAAAACCCTGAAGCCCAGACCCTGAAACACCTTGATAATGTTCCTGATGTGTTGCAATATGGGGAAAAGAGCCATCAAAAAAAAACACTGAAACACCCAGACGGCCTGGAAATCGTACTGGACGTGGAGCAGTGCCGCCGCACGGGCGCCGGCATCTTGCGCCAGCATGGCATCGCCAGAGATGCTCGATGAAAGGGACAATCTATAAATATAAAAGATCCACACACACACACATATATATATATATATATATATAATAGATATTATTATGATAATGATTATTATTATTGTAGTAGATCATATCATAGTATGGTATGATATATTGTATTAGGGGTCGGGAGAAGAGTTCTACAAGGGTTACTAGAAGGGAGGGTCTGAGCCCTTCTGTCAGAGGCGGCATTGTCCCGTGCTTGCAGACTTGATCCTGGTACTCGTACTTGTCGTGGCCAACATGACAGCCTTGCTCTGCTTTCACTTGCCAGGCCCCAGTGCGAGATAAAAGTTCCTACACCTGACTTGTCTTAAGCCACTCAGGAAGTGTGTACTTGAGAGCCCCTCAACCTTCTAGACCTCGCCGAGGCTTGTCCGAGAGTGAGTGCTGAAACCTTCTAAACCCTAGGCCCCGAGCTGACTGAACCCGAAGCCACTGAGACATCCAAACTCGAGGCCCGTCTGGAGTTCAGCGTAGGTTCGTCCTAGGCGGGTTTAGGTTGCAGTGACATCGATTGCAGGTCGTAGACTGGGTAGACTTTGAGTCCAGTAGCAAAAGAAGTTCAGGGACTCCTCATATAAGGGCGTAAATCATTGCCATTTGGGGTTCCTTGTTTGAGTTTTAGATATAATATGTCTTAAGACCCTTGTCTATTTCTTAAGGCCCCTACATTTTTCAAGCCAGATTTGACCGCGGAAGGCTTGAAGGCTTGAAGCCCCGAATTCGCTAAGGAACTGCTTCGCTTTCAGGGCTCAGGGTTTAGGTTTAGAGCTAAGCAAGGGTTTCGCATTTTCGGCTCAGGTTGAGGGTTTTCTGCAAGGCTGGGGAAGGCTACATTGAAAAGCTCCCCTGTTCCTACGAGATGCCCCCAGCCCTAGGATTATTGCTGGTGGAACTTCGCAGCCCTAAAAACTGAGACTATGCCTTTGCGGTACGTTTTACTTAGGCTCTGGCAGGTCAGGAGTATTTAGGATTTTGAGGTGGACTGCTGGTATTTGAGACACTGAGCTTTGGGTTCGGGCGGCCGCGGGTGAAGCTTCTTGTTTAAACCCCCAAACCCAGCGGAATCGAAGGATTGCTCCCACGACTTGCTGGACGAAACCCTGCTCAGCCGCCTCTGAGGGGAAAAAGCGGGCGCTTTGGGCTCTCCGGAGTCGGGCTTCTTGGTGCGTTTCTGCAAGTCGGGTCTATGTGGGTGGTCATTTAGGATACCCCAAAAGGGGCCATAATTTTGCCAACCACCCATTGGTGCTTGGTAAGGTGCCTGGCGAGGGCTTCTGCAACGCTCAGTCAAAGTTCTATGCAGTCGTGCGGCGGTTTCCAGTATTCCATGTTGTGACGTGGCAGAGGTGCTAGAAACACCTACGACCACAGAAGCTTCGACAGACGAGAAGGACTGCCAAATGAGATTTATTTTCAACCTGAGGTGCGGGCTTTCGAGCATTCCGGGTTTCAAGATTCAGGTAGGTGGACAGTGCTGGCGATGTTGGATACCGCGCTGCACGAGCCGTCAGCAGTTGATATTATATAACCTGGAGACGGCAATCCTCCCGAATCCTCGAACCTTGGCTAAAGAGAAACTAGAAGGCCACACGACTGCAGAACCTTGCAGACGCTTGCGACGCTCCATACCCTGTAGCTCTTCTGTCTCTCTGCTGCC